TATTCAGATTTATACACCGATGGGCCCGTGAAAGCTTTCGCAAATCCCAGTGAAGCACCTTATTTATTCGTCCTTTGGCGAAACGTACGTATTGCACAACGGAGAAGAACAATGTTCGTTATACAGGATGCTTTGTGTAGACCTTAAATTATTTTAAGAGATGGAGGTAGGAATGGCGAAGATACCCACACAAACTGCGCCGTACTCAGCGGTTTCGGATGACCCAGAAATTAATACCTGTCTGGAAGTGCATATGGCTTATGGCCTCTATTGAGCTTTGACCCAGCCGTATAGTACCTCCCAGAAAGGAAAGGGAACTGATGTATGCCGCTTCACTGAAACATGTTTTACATTGTGTAATAAGCTACTTGGCATCGTTTGATTTTCAGCTACTGGTTTATTAAAAATTCCAATACAATTGTAACGTTACCATAATAACGACAGACACGATGATACATTTATTAGATATATTGTTACCAAAAACCATAAGTAAATTAGTGTCGTGGATTACAAGAAACCTTTAGTTTCACACAAGCTTCCGTAACGACCCCCAAATTACTTCGGCGTATACCTGAGACACCCAATACACCGGAGCAGCGATGGAATCTGTCGGACGCAGGCCGGCAACGAATTCACTTCATTAGCAAACTAATGAACCGATTAACCGGCAGAATAATTAGAACGACTTTGTACTGGGAAAACTTGGTGCGATTTAAACGGAGATTATCGGCTGCCGGCGGGCCGCGACAGCTATTTAACGCGCCTCCTTCCATTGAAAATGCATTTGGCATGCATCACTCCTCTCTGGAAGTTGAAAATGCCTGGCTAATGATCCGTTTCCGAGCGCCGCGGTGTACATCCGCGTTTCCATCGACTTTTCTTCGCCGGTTTCTCACGGCCGAGCCGGTGGCGGCCGGTTCGTTTTTCTGGAATTAATAGTCCGGTTTAATGGCGGTGGCCGGCGACCGTGAGAAATGCGTATCACGTGCGCCGCGGTGAGATTGGAAATTTAGGAGACCGGTGTCTCTCGAGATCGGGAAGGACGCGAGAAATTGATTTCTCGCGTAACATGATCCATGAATTTCTTAAGTAACAAGTTGTAGATTGAAACGCTCGGTCGTTATTCATATTAGCGATAACGCGTACCTCTCGCGGCGACGTTTCGCGGCCTAGTTGAACAGACAAACAAATGCTAGGTGTCTTTGATTCATGAAAGGGACGAGTCGAGGAGTCCCTTCACTTTTAACATTATTGGTCGGTTGGATTCTTCAATATCTGGTCCACGAGTCCCATTGCACGCGCCGTGATACACGAGTGAAGTGTGTGCGCCAGTCAGGGGATGCTACTGGTAGGGGTAAAGGCTATATAAGAGAAGGTTAATCTACTTTGGTTTTGTAGTAGAGCTAGGATCTTTGCGCCGCGATCGTACCTTTTCACTGTAGAGCAACATGGTACGTATGCTTTCTGGAATATCAGCCGGAAATGCGAATTCACGCTTTGACCGTAGGATCGATATTCGTAATAATTATCGAATGAAGATGATACCGATGAAAGATAAATCAAATATCGAGTATTTACTGTAACATTCTCTTTACATCTTCTTTCGTCTTTAATATTTTCTCTTGATTTTGCATGGAATTACATTTGCAAGGATTAATGTAATATTTTGTACCGAGACAATGTGGAATGTAATTATTAATTGATAACACAATCATTGCGTTTCGATTATATCTAAAAGAGACACGATGTCAGGATCTCTATGAACTTATTAACTTGCGTAAAGTAAAAAATATTTATTTTATGAATTAATATTTTTTACTTTGTAAATCAAACTAATTTTTTAAGGTTAATCGGAGTAGTATATATTTCATTTTGAACCATGAACAACGGAAACAAGTTCTTAGAATTATTGAAAAGAAAAGAAATTGGGACAGTGAATGGTACAGAACTTCATAAGGCTAGAGAGAGCTGGAGTTCCGTTCGTCTTGTCTCAATTAACCCCCACCAGTCTCCATTTTTTGAGTTCGCTGTACGATCTTTTTCGGATACCCTATGTATCGTCCCTGTTGCATCAAAATTCGTCCGGGGATGAGGAAGAGAAACTTTTACTTTTGCATTGATGATGCGATACACTTGGCCGAGGGGGGGTCCCCGGTGCGTGGCGCAGTGTATAAAAGAGTGGTCCATGCCGGATGTTTGACCCAGAACTTCACGAGCAGTGAAAGTGTATCCCGGTGCAAGTTCATTTTTTACCAGTCGTCGCAATGGTTAAGGAACAAACATACGATCAAGCTTAACTATCAAAATAAGATTTTAAATAACTACTACAATAATATTACTATTTAACGCAACATAAATTCATCGTCGACGAATGATTCACAAATTTCCCTTTATTTTGCAGAGACTATATCTGATACTGGGCCTGCTGTTCGTCGGCGTAAACGCCGAGAAAAAGATCAATTTGGACGACATAGAAAGGGACAATTTAAGAATTGAAGGGATTTCGAAAACCGGAGTCGCACCGCCAGAAGGAACGAACTATTTGACAAAGCCCGAGATTAGTCAGCAACCGTATCAACCGCTGAGTCAATACAATAAACCGCCTAATGCACCTGTTGCATATGTGACTGCACCGTCAAGTCAAAATGTAAAGTGATTCAATTTGTAGTAGTCTCTTGAGAGACTTCAGGTTATGTTAATTAGTATGTATCTCGACAGATTCCGAAAACTTATGTTCAGCCAAACAAATATGTTACGAAAGAGCAAGTCTATCAACAGAATAACGTGTTACCAGAACAGCCTCCGCCGCCACAATATTACAATGAATATCAACAACCTTCGTTGCCTCCGAAAGGAATCGCGCCGAATCACTATGAATCTCAACAGTTCATCTATCAACCGGAAGTGTTAGTTGGTAATCAATTACAGACGGTCCAGCAGAAGGCAGTTACTGCAAAATACTCGAAGAATGTAAACAAAGGTACTTTGAATACTGATTGTATTACTCGTAGAATGTAAGATTTCATTGACTAGATAACACAGTTCATGGAGTAGAGATTATATCTGAAACACTTGTCGCGTTAATACATAAATTAGTATATATTAAAAATAGAGATGGTACATAGATAGGACTCAGATATCATCTATTTTTTCCTTAGTCTCATTTAAAGTCGAATATATTAACACCTTGCTTATCGTATGCGTATTAATAGACTTATAAACATTTATTGGTTACACGGTATAACTTGTTAGATCATGATTGTAATCGATAATGAGATTGAATAACCTATTAAGAAATCGTTATCTGTTCATCGTTATCCTACAAAAGGCTATTAAGTAATCATCGGTAGGTAAAGTGTTCGAATAAAGTGGTACTTCGTCAAAATATCCGTCAAGCTCCAGGGTAATAAAAGATAGTTTCTCCAAAAATGGTAAAAATTGTTTAGGACAGTAAAAGTTAGTTTCACTAAAATGATTTGCCGGTGAAACTTTGTTACACACTTTTAAACGACTTCAGAAACGGTGTACGTCGATATTCCCATGATGCACCTGCTGACTTATTACCCGAACTTGGACGTAAATCCTGGCAAAGGCAGAGGACTATTGGCGCCTCAATTGACTGCAACCGGAACAGAACAGATATCTATTCCTCTCTATACCTCGACACTAAGTCAGAAGCCGATTGTTCCTGTGAAGCCGACTTATCAGATTCAGCACGCCCCGAAATACAATTCCGTTGTTCCGACCACTTTCTCTAGTAAGGTTAGTGTAAGATTTAATACCTTTTCTCACTACATTCCTTCAATCTCTAAATAAAATTTATCGATACCTATCTTGTAATAGTGCAGTACCATTCAACGAGTGCATTTCTAAATGAACCTAAAATTCTCTGTATAATTAATTTACCTTTCTGAGTGTAACAGAAGTAATTTATTACTTAGAGGTAATATACAAGATTGAAGTCAATTAAGTTAGAAATTAGATTTCACATTGATACGTTTAACGGAATTTTCACCTGATTATTTGGCAGAAATAGAATGCAATTCCTCGCACTATGTTACATCACATTGAGGGACATTTTAATTAGACTATGTTGATTCGACAAAGGACTAACATTTTCAATTTTCAGCCACAGAAAGCCCCCGTTTACACTGCTCCCGTTACTCCAAAGAAGTACACCAATACTCCGTTAGCAAATGTGGCAACCTATGTTCCACAAGACCAGTCTTACGCTCAAGGAAGGCAGTTCTTGTACACGCAAGCGTACATCGCTCCGTCCCAACCGCAATACGTCTCCCAGTTGGTCTACGCACAACCGACAACTGTTTATATGCACGCTGCTCCCGTGTACAATGATGTATACGCTCGTGTACCCACATACGTGCAGGACAACGTCCTGCAAGGCAACGTTAAATATAACGCACCGCCTGAACAGCCGGAAACTGCTGTACCACTTGCCGAAGAGTTGCCTAATCAGGTCTTGACCCAGCAAACTGGCCAGAGCGGCTCTCAAAATTATGTCAAGGTTTGGTATAATGATTAATAATCTCGTTACACTATATTTTATTCGCATACAACGAATAATCGTTGAAGTTGATTCATCCAAATAAGAGATGGTTTCGTGTAAATTTGCATTTTTGAAAAGTAGCGAAAAAATTACAATTCTTTTTTTCGGTAAGAGAGTATTCTGTCATGAAGAATCCTTTGGAAGTGTTGATTCTTCGATCAATATAAGATGTTTCAATCGCTCGAAGCAAATCATTATTTCCAATAGCTCATTATTTACAGAACCAGAATATAAATATTTCTCGTGAAATGTAACTAAATATAGTCCTACCAAGTGAACAATAGATAGTGAAACATCTCTTCTAAGTATCCACATAATCTCAAGTTGCTGTCACGAACATAATAATAAACAACCTACATTTTTAGGAACCTGAGGAACCCAGCGAGGACTTGGTACCGCCCCAATTACCGGCGCAAGAATTCAAATCAGTCACGCCGCTTCTGCCCGTGCCACCGCAAGAAGATGAACCCGCCCCAGTCCAAAACGACGTGGGTCCCACAGAACCGAGATCTCTGCTCGATTCGTACGTACCAAGCAATTTGATCGCGGCTCAGGACTCCGCCAGGTAAGATTAATAAATAATTACCACTAATAAAAAAGTAGTACAACCGCCTTGAACACAATTCTTCCGCATATTTAACACGGACTATTCGGTACAGATACCAGGAGAGGCCAATCAAATTGGAAACCGGCTTCCTGCCATCGAAAGAAAACTTCCTGTTTAAAAAACGCAAATCGGAATAATCTGTAAGACACGTCGAGTCACACGACTGACAAACGTTCGAGTAAAGAATGTGTCAGTAGAGATGATTGTGCTCGGTCGCTAATCTCGACGTTCGAAATGGCTGCCGACGACACCGGGGACACCTGCCCGACCACAGAAGGAGGCGCGCGCGATCGCATCTAGTCTTTCATCGAGGATCGTCAAACGACAAGCGTGAACGACATGTCTCGCCTAACTTTGTTGTTTTCTCTCTTTTTTTTTATATTTTGTAGACGACGTTTTATACGACTATTTTTTTTATAAATAAAAAGAAAACGAAGCACCGTCAATCCAATGATTGTTCCCTGCCTCGATCCGCGATTTTCGTTCTCGTAACTGGTCCGACTGCCGCTCCGAGATTCCTTCGTGTAATTAGTGGTGGAGAAATCTGATCCTTGGCCTGAATAGATGTGCAAATTTCTTTTTATGTGTATATCCGCTTAACTGAAACAACACTTGGAGAAAAATTCACGCGTTTCGTTGTCTTTCCCTGGAGTGTTGTTGCGCTTTTTAATCGAAAGAAAATTGCTTTAAACGCCGATCGAAATACACCGAGCATCAGCAGATAAAGATATCAGGTTTCTCTGGTTAGTTTATGCGGGGCCACTCGAAATTTCTCTGCGAAATTAGGTAGTCGTTCCAGATGCTTCGCTACAGCTAGGGAATTAGATTTATTCAAGACACTCCGAGATTTCATGCAAATTCATTAATGACTGATTGGGTTCGAAATTTTCTGTCACCGATTCTCTAATACATTTGTCAATTTTTACAAGCTTGGCGTTGATACGTCGCGATAGAATCTCTATCTACCACGTCCAGCGAAGAAGGAGTCGCGTTGACAGTCACGCGCACACGAAGACGTCACCGCGCGTCCGTGTGTCGGCGTGCCGAAATGAGAAAGTGGATGCTGTAGGTAAGAGCCAATGGTGTAGGCTTTTGAAATTGTACGTCAGAAATTCAAACCGGTTGAAAACGCTAATTCCCCATCAAAATTGCACGTTCTTTCCCTGGCGAACCGTAACGCTGGTTAACGAGCTCCCGTTGACTCATCATTATCATTAAACCGCCTGGCAAATCCGTGCCGAACCGGAACATTTTAATCAAATTATTACAACCAACAATTTCTCTCGTGTGAATCTAAGACAAACGTTTTCCAAAACCAATTAATGTAGTTGCTGAGTAACTAGACATGTTAACAGACGATATTATGTACTTTTCAAGTTGAGTATGATAGTCTCGCGCGGGTATCACGCGTTAATGTAAGTTCGCGTCTAAATTTCTCAGTTTTCAATTAACGCATCTCCGAATCAGCACTCATCGACATTCTACACGATTCAATCGATTTTCGTAGGAAACCAGTAACTGAAAAGTCAAGATTTTTCGCAGTTACTCCTTTAACTTTCTCGCGACTCTCTAACTTAACAAAATTGGATTTACTCGACGTGTCACCGAAAAAATTGATTTTCATTTATATTAAAAAAATTGCATCATTTGGACTTAAACAACTCTACGATCAATGTATCCGTCAAAGTCGTGACGAAAGTTGGTCACTTCGCTTAATGATTACAAATATATAGACTCAAAGAGAGTCACGTGTGTTCATTAAAGGGTTAGCGCTGCGAACGTTAACACGAAACTTTGATTAAAAATTCTGCTTTTTCATTCGTCCATTAACCGTATATCAATTGCTGTAGTCTGATTAATCGGTTTTCCAATTTTCGTATTTTCTCCCGTTTCCGTTCTCACTGAGAAAAGTTGAACGTCTAACTTGTTTACCTTTATTTTGTAACCAGTTGTTTGACTGGTAACGGCAGGAATAAGTATACACAAAGCGTCGGTACGTTTAGTGTTAAATGAATAATAACGTCGATCGTAGCGCGACAGAGGGGAACCAAATCGTGGATATTGGTTCTCTAATTTCGAAATAGTCGCGGGATGAAGCACGCAAACGCTACGTGACACGAGGACGCGACGCGTCCTTACTACGCTACTGGCAGCTGTCTTTCCGTACGTATCGAATGAGAAATGCCGCCGTGTTACGGCGGTGAAACTATAATCGCGTTGTCCCTCTCGCGGTTCAAGCGAAGGCATATAAGGTGGGATGTAGCGGGCTCTGCTTCATCAGTCCCAAATACACACGACGAGACCGCCAAGCAAGCAGGTTTAAGGTCGAGCGCCGTCATGAGGCCTATTGCGATTCACGTGAGTACCTAGATCCTTATCTTTTTGCCGGGCGATCACCGGAAATCAGTCCGGCGGAAGTGTACTAGGTGTTCGTGGCTCTGTAACCTGCCAGATGTCATTGACAGAGACAGGTTAATTTTCCTGAATGTGTGTATGATAATTAACCCTTTAACTACGAAACGTGTATATGTACACTCTCGCATGCCTATCAATCTATACGAAAGACGTAAATACACAGCCTCCAGATTTTTTATCAATGCAAAGAGTGTAGGTTTATACGTTGATCCATGTTTTACAATATATCACAGATAAATTGATTATTAAGTCGTTTTTATTATTTGCAGTCGTTTATATTATCTTCATTGCCATTATGTTAAAATTGTCAAATTAAATTTGTTCCTCACTATAAATTTTGGATTTTTTTCTTTATATTTAACTATCGACTAAAATTGTACAATAAACTGTCCTAAACATTTGGCAATTTTACGTATAAATATTTGTTGAATATTTATTATTATGGATTATTATTATGTATAATTATCATTGATTATTGTATTAAGTATTCGTTAAATATTTGGGTTATTCAATATTATGAGATGATTGAATAATGTTGCTAGTGTTGTTGTTTGAAGAAATGTAATCGTACGAATAATAAGATGTAGAGATTGAATACATTTTAATATAGGAATAATAGAATGTTGCCTGTAGCAGGTATTCAGAAAACGTTCACTATCCAAAGAAGGTAGAACTATGCAATTAAAATATAACTATGTAGCTCGAAGAGTTTCGTTCCTCATTATACATTCACCAAGAACATCTCATTTCTCTTAACGAGTTACAATTAGTTCGCATATGAATATGTAAATCAGGATTTTTTCGCAGTGTTCGATGAAAACAGAAATGAAACGAAAATCGTTTCTTCTGTTATCGGTTTCACTTTGTATTCTCATTAGACCTTCTACATTCTTGAAATATCGAGTTTCCTCCCATAATGAGAATTCAAAAATGTTTGCAACGAATATTATTATTCTCGCAAGAAACATGCCACCAATCACTAGAATTACAATTAATAAAACCTTCATGTTATCTCAATTTTATCTTTAAACTCGCCAATCTTCCTCCCATTTGCATATTCTTCACTATCAATCATTCCTTCATCTTCCCTCGATCACTAATTACCCAAATAAATTCTTTTCCATGTTCCGCAAGTCATTACACACATCCCTTGTTACAAGATATCGTGTTTTCCACCTATATTCGTTTTATATGCTTAATATAATAATTAACCGCGTATCATTACCGGTTCTATTTCACCAATAAAGTTACGAATCATCTCTCTAATTACCTGCGCTCGAAATTTTATTCTCTAAGGAGATTCTCCGGGATAGATACTGGTAATCGTATTACGTGTACCGACTTCCTTGTTATCTCGTTCCCAAGGGACTGCAGGTATTACATCCTCTGATAATATTCGTTGCAGTAACCCTTGGGTCCAAGGTCCATAACATTCGTATGCGTTCACGCGTACGTTCTTTACGCTTCGGTTGACCTAAATCCTTAAACGAACTTAGCAGAGACCACAGATTAATTTCAGTCCTAGAATCGACACGAAATAACGCACGAAATTGAGTAATTCCGCGGTTTATCCTCGCCGCAGGCGAGACCGAATTCCGTCTGGCCGACGACACAATCCGACGTGGTCATTACGGAGAAAGTGTTTCTTATTTTCCTCCGTTGCCAGCCACGCAGCGTCCGGCGTAGCAGCCGTGGCAGATGCTCTTGAGCAAGTCAGTGAAAGTCCTTCAGAAGGTATTCGGCGAACACAGCCGTAAAATCTGTTTCCGTCGATGGTTTATTAGATAACCGATTTTCTATCCGGTGGAAAGGACCGACTAATAACGAGCCGACTCTTCAATCCTCGCTCGTTTCTTACGAAACATCAGTAACCGGCGAATTTCAGGAACAAATCTGTCGCGGAACAACCGGGTCGATCATTTTCACGATCAGGAACTTTCATTTCCAGCGTTTCCATCATTCGCATTTTTGTTTTCAGATTTATTAACGATGTACGTTAGATTTATTAGGGATGTTATAACGGCTCGCGTACCAAGAGGAAGTTTTTTATATTCCTCGTTAACTCGCGCTCAAGATTAACGTCGATACCGCAGGATTGCCCGCGGCACGCGGCTTCGGAAGAAAGCGGTGAAAATCGCAAGTTCGCGTGGAACTCGTTCTTCAGGCCCGACCACTTGACTCCGACCGTAACCTTGTAGAAATTTCACCTCTTTCCTGGCAAGGTCGAGACCCCGTAATAATAATCGTCGATAATCAGCTTGATGAAGCGAGGTTTCCTTTGGTACGGTGATTATATTGGTTTCTTGGATCATGATAAAGTACCGTGTAAACGCGAGAGGTATGAGAATACTAACTTTAGAACTATCAAATGGGTAAATATGATCCACTTCAGAATTTGTATTTTACAATTATCGCACTTCAGAAAATGATTCCGTGAAACGCTGCAAAATAATTCGCGTAATTCTGACAAACAGTAAGAGTTCGTATTTCGAGAAATGCACTTTTTTAATTGTTACAAGACATTATAAATCATTACAATTGCTCGGTTTTGTTATTAAACTAATATAAACTCGACTGAATTTTACATAAGACGTAACTCACACATAAGTCAAACCTAAACATAACTCGAAAAGACTCAATAATCGTCGGAATCAAAGAGTTTACGATTTCCCTTCAAATGATAATTATCAGTCGGTTCAGCGAACGGCTGTCCAAGGTAAACGGTACGCAAACGGGGAGAGGCACGCGCGCGTATTCGGGGGAGGGAAGTGAAAGTGAGATTATCATCACTAGAGCATCAAGCCGTAAGATCGACAACCGGCTTATTGTTGTTACGTTCAACGCCCGAACAGATCGACTCTATTTCTTACAAGTACCCATTGCTTTCAGATCGCCGCTATCCTTCTTGCGATCAGCCTCAGTCAAGCGAAAACTTCCGGGAGGGATCTATCCAAAACGAGCGAATCACAGCTGGACAATTTGGTTACCGAGCCTCCTCACCTCGAGATCCTCTCCGAAGAAGAGGAATCAAAGGAAGAGATCACGAAAGAAGAGGATCAACTACCGATTCTTCCTCCAATAATTCTATTAGACTTCGGCAACAACAACACAGACGACGAGAATGCCACAGCCGAAGAAAAATCTAAACGAACCGTGAATAATGGCCTGGGTTACGGTCTGGACAGGAACAATCTGCACCCAAGGAAATACAATTATTACTTCCCTGCCGGGAAATCAGGCACCACGGTGAGCATCGAGGAATCGATCAGCCCGTTTCTCCCCAAAACGATCATCGAGAAGGTCCAACCCACCAGCCAGAAGGGGTACTATTTCGGGACTCAGCAAAACAGTTTCGTCTCGCAGCCGTCTGGTATCGCGGGGCAGAGTCAAGCTCAATCGAGCAGCAGTGTTCAGTACCTAAATGCGCAGCAGCTGAAGGATCAGCCGATGTTCGGATCGCGGGCGAAGCCGCAAAGCCAGGGCACCGGCTTCACCTCGTACCAGAAACTGTCGATGAAACCACCAGTCAGTTCGTACAGTATTCAGAATTCGGGTTACCGTGGCGGCAACGTCCCGGCCAGCACGCAATCGCCTTTGGCTTTTAGCTCCACAGAGACGGTCAGATATGTAACTCCGAGCGCGGCGAATTTCGCGAATCCGCAGCCCGCCTCGTTCCACTACGCCAGCCAGGGTTCCCAGTTCGCGCAGAGCGGCACCGGTCAAAGGCAGCACGCACAATCCAATATCAATTCCCATGGCTTCGTTTCGCAGAGCGTCGAGACCTCGACCGCCGCTCCGCTCAACTATAATCCCCGTTACCCTGCCTCCAGCCAGCAGACGCAGCCAACGAACAATGGCCCCAGGTACTCCATGGAGAACGGGGTGCGGTATGAGAATAAAATCTTCTGGAAGTACCCCGATGGCAGGGTGTCCGACGTTCCTCCGACTACTTACGTGGAAACCTCCTATCCGGAGTACCTTCAATCTAACGGGCAACATCAGCAGCAGGTGAAATCTCAGGGTTCTCATTCGATTTACGAAGCCAGCACCACGGAAAATAGCGTACTCTCCCAAGGACCTGTGCAGTTTCCCGCAGTTTCCGAACCCAGCGGACAGGAGCCAAACCAATTCGTTTCCTCGGAGTCGTTGACGGCTAGTTTGCCGCAGCAACAAGTGTACCGGCTTGGTTATCAGAATTTAGTGAGCCAGAGGCTGAACGCGAACCAGCCGCAGCAACGGAAACCCACTGTAGCGACCTCCTACTCGTTCTCCACTTCCGGGAGGCTGCAATCCAACAGACACAAGCCAGCCTACAGCTCGCTGTATCGGCCGGTCACTTCTAGGTACATGGTCAACAGTCCGAATGCGGAGTACACCGATGGTTACACGACGGAGCCCACTGTCAACGCTACCACGCCCATCTCGAACTTCTTCTCTGCGACTGATTCCTCTCGCGTCGCTTCTAAGTATTCCCCTAAGGTTCAGAACTATTTAGACACGATACTGAGTGCGCCCGAGGAAACGAAAAAGCAGAGTCTTCCTAGCAATGATTTGAACAGCTATTCTAACTTGCAGTATTCCGATTTGTTGAATTATAATCCCTCCATTTCGGAGTATATTAGGAACCCAGCGTCTATTTTGAACGTTCGGCCAACTTTTGTTCAAACTGGTAATTCTCTTATACCCGTGATCATTTTAAGAGTAGACGGGGTATCCCCTATTCAAACTAAATCTACTCCGAACATTAATTTGAAGGCTCTGCTCCAGCAGTATCTCATTCAGTACGCTAACAGCATTCAAGAACTGGCGCGTCCTTCTACGTACGATCTTGGAACTGACTCTGTTGCGAGTGGACAAAGCCAAACTGGTACTAAAAGTCCAGTTCTCGATTTAATTCGATTGACCCAGCAGGATGCAAGGGTTACCTACGATCCGAACGATTACATTGGGAGGACGAGTTACGAGACTAGCAATCTGGAAATTCCGAAATCCTTCGCCGACAGCCATTTCGGTGAACGATCGACGGTCCGGCAGAAGATGAAAAACGTTCAGATTATCGATGATCCGAGATTCACGAGCTACAAAACGAAGAACTGAAGTGTTATTGGTTTATGATCGTTGGATAAGGACATTGTTTGCGTATTGCGATTGGAAATCTCATATGTTTTTTCGTTCTTGAACAGGCACATTGGTTTTCGTTTCGAAAGATTCCGTGTGCCATTGATATCTAATTAGACTCGATTAGTTGTTAGTTGATCGATAGTATTTAATACGGGGTTTGTGCAATAAATTTTTCAATACGTTATGTTGTACCTGGGTGGCTGAATCGCTGCGGTTCCGCTCGAATCTGTTGCATTCGAGGCTCGCCGTTGCTTCGGTACTGTACATAGCATTGACCAAATTGTTTACTTCAAGAAGGTACCTTATAAGCTTAGTATTTTATTAAGGTAACAGACACTCGCGATGTTGTACGCATTCCTATCTACCTGAATAAACGTTCTACTTGATTAAACAGACCTCTCAATCCCCTTCAAATTCCATCTACCGATCATCTTTATTCTTTCCGCTCATGGGTGTGTATTCACATTTTTTTCCGCGAAGGTACCGACCTCGGTCTTCGAATCGCCGAATCGATGCCCAATTACTTCAGGAATAGAAATTCCCAGGATTTTCCGTTGATTTTCTAATTAAAACTGTTCTTATTTCTCGACTCGGCTACGTCGATAAATGCAAATACAGAAAAGCGTGTTGTCGATACGCAGAACGCTTGTTACATTCACCGCATTGTCGATGGTACTGAAAGTCTCTCCACTTACTTACTCAAAGCTGAAATAATGATTCGCTTAATGCCTCCGTTCGAAATTGTAATTCGAAACATTCGAATCCGTAAAGCAGACAATTATGAAAGAGCTATTTAAAATTTACTTCAACACCGAAACAATTAATACAAAAAACTCAATGTTAGTTTACCTTCTTGTCACGATTGTTCCTCGTCATAATTAAAATTCATGTGTAAATCCTCAATTCAGTGATCGTTTAGAAACGATCAAAGAGGATAGATTACGCAACTTCGCAGCAGAAACCAAACGCACCGTGGTCGAAGGGGTGAAAGAAAGGATCGCAGTGAACGCGACATGGTCGAGAGTCCGTGTGCAATTAACGTTAATTGTCTGGTTAGGTGAAGATGAACAGAACTACGGGCGTACTCGTAGGGCGCAGTTAATTCCATGTTTTCACAACGAGAGGTAACGATGATATCTCCGCATATCTGCGAACCACGGCAATTAGACACAAGGCATTAAACTGTGGCGATTGCCGAGCCCGAACCGCTTCTTACACAGCCGAGGATCCCCAGACTTGGTAACGTCGCAGCTCGCCGAAGCCAGCCGTCGTTTCCATCGTGTGAGCCTGGTTGCATCGAGAGGAGTGAGCGCGGTGTGCATAATGCGTGCGTTTTAGAGCGCATAGAATGCTCGTCGGGAAACTACTGTCCGCCTAGGTGAATCTTCTTCGCTTTACTACAGCCGCTGCTACGATATCTTTATCATCGTTAACACTGTTTTTTATCGAAACATTCCAACAGCCTGTCACCCAACAATTTTACAAGCATCCGGAGTCATCGTACTCTTCGAACGGAGACGATTAAGAAATAAAATACGCGGCACGTTATTAATGTTAATTGTCCTTAATGACGACAAACATTTGATTAGATCTCCGAGTTTGATATTATCAAGCGAATAACGCGTTCTTTTTTTTTGTAATTGCACGAGTGAATTTCATGTTAATGACTGGTGGTAGCATCCTGCGCCCAACGCGGACAAGAATTTTCCAGCGGCGGTCGCGTGTCGCGAATGAAAGTATCCTCCGGCTGGTGGACTGTAGGATAATATTTAGAACGATATTTTTCACTTGGCTACCGGAGTGTATAAAGAAAATCGCGTGTCTACTATGTGGCTCAGTTCTCTCGTGGAGGTTCGCCTCGCAGGGTCCTACGGATTACAGAAGCTCGGGGTACTAGCCGGCCAACCGACGATCAATGTGTTCTACGGGAAACTCAGTGACACTCGGCCCTTCGTAATTCTGTGACTCTCCGTGATCGAGGGAAACCGGAAAAGCCGGCCGCTTCCATTCAGGAAAATGTTGCTATATCTTGTAAGTACACGACCAACGATCGTCCGTGCGTGAATTAGATGCAGCTATCGTGACAATCTTACGTTTCAAGCATTTTCACCCTTATCAATCTTTAATCGAATTTCTCGTTTTACGATCAACTGGTAGACTTGTTGGATGTTCGATTGTTTTTTTCGAGGTATTCGATTGTTTAATCTTCATTTTGAATCCGTGTACAGTTTCGAGGTTGCTCTTTAGAATTTCAGATGACAGAAATGCTTTCATAATTGCAGAGGAAATTTATTCTGAAAATGTTGGCATGTGTAGAGAGTATCTAGGATCCATGGCACCGCACACGGATCAATGTAACTGGAGCACTTTCTTTCTTAATATTTCGACCTCAGTGTTTTCCCTAATTTACCACACGTCCACGATGGCCAATTAATAGAAAGACCTTACTTTCCTAGTGCTCGCCAGCGAATGAAATCTTCTGTGTCGCTCCATTTTGATTTAGTCGTAAGTAGATTGAAATTCTTCTCTAGAGAACCTCTCGCGAAACGGTTCCTCCGTTGTTGGGGCTATTAGCCGCGATTATTTCTTCTTATATTCCTAATTACCTTTGAAGCACACGATCCACGGCGTGTTCGAGATTTCTCTTTAACCCCCTTGTAATGGCAAACGTGAAATGAGAATTTCATTGTGGCGGTTGCAGGATAAAAAGGAAGGCGATAAACAAATCTTGCTTTAAATATTATTTATTACATTTCCACAGTTTTTTCTGAAGTATCTCGTGTTCGTAGTGTTTAATAAATTTAATCAATATCAAACATAAATTTTAATCAAGCACACTTATTGGATTTTTTTCAAGGTGAATACGTTTCAGTTACCTTTGAAATATTCATTAGTATATTTGAATTCAGTTGAAAATGATAGTCGACTAATTTAATGTATCGAATTGTCGGTCAAATTAGTGTCTCTTTTATACTTGAATCTTTATTGCTAGTGATTTAGGATTGACAAAGTTGTCAATGAATCCTGAAATTGCCATTGAGATCTTATTAATTACTCGTCCAACGCTGCATCTTTATTAGCTATGACAAACGTCGTCGGCAAATCGTTCAATCAGTTACACAAGACTGTCAATCAGAATCCGGCCGCCTTGAATCATTGAGAAAGTACCCGAGGATCTGCTTCCGTGCACATTCAGTCCTTGGCCGTCGTAGTGCACACGCATGCTGCCTCGCATTTTACTTTTCTATTCTGCTTTTCTTTTCTAGGTCAGCTCCTTGACTGCCACTTATTTTCGCCGATGAATCCGTTTAGCTGTGGCATTACCTTAAGTTCCCAATAATCGGCGCGCTTTCTTCTTTCGTGGCTTTCTTCCAACACTTGCTCGCGATCCGCTCTTTGTCCTTCATTGCACACGATGTGATCCAAAAATTCCAAGACGTTATTAAACATATAAAAAGGTCGTAATAAATCATACAAATTCCTTTAGAGTCTATACACAACATCACTTTGCAAATCGATATTAATTAGTTTCTCCGTGAGCTTGTTAAATCACTATAAAAACTTCTTTCCCTTGTTCTCGATTTTGCTAATATTCATCACAAAATACCAAAGAGCGATGTTCGACTGAGAACTTGGTAGATAGGAAAAATAACAGAAAAATAAATCTCAAAGACACGAGTTAAATGAACAATAGACATTCCAAGTAAAGAAATAAGACAATATCCAAAGAGGTCGATCGAAAAGTTTGTATACGTCGTCGTGCGTATTGCTCCAAAAACCGACGACCGCGCGAATTCAATTTAGCTGATGGTCTCGAGCATCTGTAAACACTACTGGCCGGTAAAACGCGGAGTGTCCTCGAGCGCTTATCGAACTTCCACATTGTCCCTCTCGACCGGCCCCGCTAAATTGGCTGAAATAATGGGCGGTCCTGCTTGCTCGTTCCCTCGGCCAGTCTTAGAGCACTGTCCCCGCTAATCATTTCGTATTCGGCGCAGGTTGTACTGTTATCTTTGAGATGGCCGCACGTAATAGGGACGGTGGACGATGCAGCGGCTCTCGATCAGATCGCGACGGAGAGCGTAGCCAAGGCGGAGAAGCTACAGCGCGACCAGAAGTTTCAAGAGCAGCTGATACCATCTATAATAGACACCGCGGTGCACTATGAGAACTCAAACGGGTTCGTGCCGATGGTCGCCACAACCATGACACCCGACCTGATCGATCAACTGGATACAACGAGCAATACCACTTGGACGAATTCTTTGAACGACAGAAATAACTCCACCGATCAGGGCAGCAGCGACGACGAGGTGGATCCAGTTGAAAACGATGAGGTCGAGAACGATCCAGCTTACTCCACCGAAGCTCGAATATTTTTGAATTTCCCTCGTTTGGGCACTAACAATCGCAGGTCCTTCGAGTACCAAGGTGGACAGAACGATTTCGAGTTGCTCAAGGTTCGAAACGACACGCCTGTCATTGCTAATTACCCTGATTTCTACGAAGACTCTAGCTCCATCGAAGCGGGAAGCGAGAAGACTCAATCCTCTTCGAGGCACAGAAGCAAATCCAGGGGGAATAAACTAGACGATTATACAGGTAATTATGGGATGATATCGAGCAGCAGCGAGGAGCTCGCTTATAATCATCATTACCCGACGAGGGATAAAGAAAAGACGAGCCAAGAGAAAGTCACCGGCAATTATCGCCAGCAAGATGCCATGAACTACGACGGTCACGGGCAGAGCGCTACCAAACAGAATGGACAGGCACTGTCGACCTTGTCGAGGCCGAATCAGGAGGTGAACAACCCTATAAAGAGCGGTTTGAGCAATTACGATGACGCTTATGACAGCATGACTGATTCCTCTCAGCTTACGAAGAATCAGCAAGGACTGTCGCGGCCAGTAGTCGTCGCAGAGTACAGCTTCGAACAGCCTAGAAGACCGGACTCGGGCATCAACGATTACCACACTTCAAGGATCATTGATTCTGCTAGTTCCGAAATGTCTCATCATTATACTATTGACAACAGAGATGGAAGATTTCGAAGCGATGAGGATTCCAGGGATGTCTCTGAAGATGGAGACTACTCAGAGTACACAGAGAGACCGAGAAGGTTACACAAAAGCAGAAGACGACCATCCAGCTCTGACCATTCGAAGAGACTTCCCAAGGAACATAGAGGATCGATAGATGACAGTATGGAATATGAACAGCAGGGGAAGAGACACCATTCGTCGAGAACCAAATCTCATAGACACAGATTGAGAGGCAATTCCTGGACAGACGATGATCGTCATCGTGATCAAGACGACAGCTACGAAGAGTCCAGGTACGATGGTAGAGCTTCAGAAAGCAGACACACTTCCAAGTCGCAGAGTAGCAAATTCAAGTCCAGCAACAGTTGGAACCAGATATCCCCTAACCTAGAGATATCGCACTCTAGTGGTGTCGAGATCGGTCAATTAGAAAAACCCAAGTTTTTGGTCCCTGTCAAACTGAACTTGGTCCCTGTAGCTAACTTCGATCATGCCACAGCACTTGGTAACAGTCAGGGCTTCGACATGTCGAACGCAGTCCTGCAGAACATTGTCTCGGCCACGCCAATGACTCCCATCAGCACGCCAACTCCTTTGATCAGCTCGTCTGATAGTACTAACGAGGCCACAAAGTACAGAGTCTCCACGTCAGTTCCTGATATCGTAGTTGGCCAAAACAGCTTCCAAAATTCGATGCAAGCAGTCCTGCCGCACATAAACGACCAGGACAAATTTTCTACAAACTTGAAGCACCAGTACGTGTCCAGCACGGTTGCTCCCGTCTTCGCTGTCACGCCAAACGTGAACTCTGTGCAGAGTGTTCCCATTCAGGATATTCATGGATCGGTTTCTCCGAGACCAGCCTACATCAACCAAGTGCACCAGATGTCATCGAATCAGGGAAGCATGCCGCAGTTGATTGTCCCTCAGCCGACAATGCAGACTGTCCCAGCTTTGGTGCAGACGCCAGTCCATTCTCCGTCGGACTTCAACATCCAGGTGAATCCCCACGGCATGCACGGGCAGAACGTGGTCAACCACGGGAATATGCAGGTACAGAGTATCCCAACCATGTTCACAGTGCCACCTACACCTCAGACAGTCCCGGTCACGAAGACTAACTTGGTGACCGCCGAATCCCAGAGCAAGAAGTCTTTCCATCCCGGCACCATTGCGAACTTCTTGGCTACTGCTAGCTTATCCGTCAGCCAGAACCGCCAAGGCCAGTCTCTAAACGATGACTCTTACTATTTGCAGAGCTCGAACACTCAGCAGATTGTCAGGCCACAGGAGACTCTCTACCAGCAAGTGATGAAGAACGTTAACATAGCCCCAAAGTCGAAGACCTACATTCAAACGACTCACCTGTTGCCGATGCTTCAACCGATGCCGACGGTTACCACCATAACTGCTAGCGCGCCTCAAGTGGTACCTGAACAGCAGACGGTTCAAAGTACCAATTACCTGATACAGCCGCCTCGGGATCAGTCGCAACAGTTCGTTAATAATAACGGTGCGTCAACCTTGAGGAACATCAAACTGCCTTCTCTCGCCTATCAAATGATAGATAACGTTGGTAGTCATAGTTCAAGCAATTTTAATGCTATGAATGTATTGCCAGGTGTTTCAGGGACTGAGAACGCCCAGCTTCCCTATGTAGGCACTAAAAACGTCGAGATCCTGAACCCAAATATTAAACCCAGTCCAATTGACGGCGCGATCGTAAACACCTTCGAAACGATGCACTATCCCACTGCAGTTTTCACCACGCCTATTCCTATGTTTACCTCTACCAGCGTTGTCACCACCAGGCCAGCTTTGTTGTCCAGTTCTACAGACTCTAATAATAATCTAGCTATGGGTGATATGAAGGCGTTCCACTCCCAAGAAAGGCCTGTCTTCAATCCCATTAACTTCATCCCCAACATAAACGTGGTAAAGAATCAGCACGCCTTGAACAGCAAACTGCATGCCACTGAACCACTGCAACAGAACCTGAATCTCGTCCCACTAATTCCCGGAGGGAACTTCTTTAAACCGTCCTTCAACTCGCAAACCGAGTTACTGGTGAAGCCGAAATTGAACAGCGACTTGGAAACCTACGCGGAGCAGATGTTCAAGGAATCCCTGAAGACCATATACAACTCGCAGAAATGGAACAATGACAGAAAACCAGGGATTCACAAGCAAAACAGCACTGATTCTGCCGATATCACAAAACTGAAGAAAGAACTGCAGAGATTGAAGGCTTCGTTGTCTGAATCAAAGAGGAATAAAGATCACGAGGCTCATCATAGCGAGACAAAGTTACAGACAGCTGAGCTACCTAGTAAGAAGCCTGACGAGTTGCTAGCTGCCCTAGAGCAAATGCTGAAGTCTCATCCTGGGGACTCGTTCCATAGCCACTATGGAAGCAGTAGACCCCACAAACATCGCAGACCTGGTGACTCCGATAAGCACACATTCGGATCTCACGGCGATTTCAGGGACAACAAGCCTTTTAGAGAATTCATGTCGCCGCCACACTCGGGATCCCGCGCGAAAGGTCATTTCCATGACAAACCGGGGAAGAAAAGGCCGGGCTCGGGGCCGAGGTACAACGGGCCGAGTCACTACCACGGACCAAGGAGTCATCACAGACACAATTTGTCCTCTAAGTCAGGCGGATTGGAAGCCTCGTCGTCCAATATCGATTCAACCCACGTCGAGGGACCGCAATTTGAGAATTTCGAGTTCGGGCACTCGCATTCGGAATCGATGAAAGGTACTTACGATTCGTCCCCTTCGTTCTCCGGTTCCCCGCCAGAGAGGAACGGCTTCATGAAGTCGACCAACAATTATAAGGCTAACAAAGACCGTGGGTACAACCACCCGAAGATGCACAATTTCTACGGATTGCTGATGAAGAACAAACAGCTACCAATGGGCGGCAGCAATCCGAATTATTTCCGAGACAAGGATCAACTAAAGAAATTCTTTGAGGATGAAAAGCGAACGCAGCAACAGATTTATGATGATACCTTAAGGGATTACTTGTACAAGCTATCCGAGGGTAATTCGTACTCCGATTTGGGTCATAGTAGATCCGATTCTCGGAGATCGCTGACTGAAACGGGGTTAGTTTGATATACGCGACTGGCAAAAGCGATGATTGTTGTTCTCGGCTAATTGTATATTTATTCTAAGCCTGCAATGCATCCTACCGAGTGGAAAGGAGGTTAAAGAAATCAAAAGAGTTAGACGTTTATTTTTGTATAGTGAACACGTTGTTGCGGATGCATTGCGGGATACAAGTTTCCGACCATTTATTACCTAGCGCGTTAAGGTATAGATAATAAGCTGTATTGTACTTTGTTGGACGATCATTGATTCGCCCTGCCTTCGGTTTTTGTTTAAATAGAGGCTATCGGTTTCTTATGAATTGTTACCAGTTGAATTAGACACTTTGAGCTCGACGGGTCGAGAGTGATGAAACCTTAATTGCTCGATCCTGGGTAGCCGTTGATTGTACATATTAATCGTAAAGCAAAGGATGACTTCTTCGGTCCGGTAATTCATTACGTTCATTGCAATGTATGCGAATATTCAGATGAATATTTACAGAGAAAAATTACATGGCGTTGTTATCGTATAAATTGGACGTTGACTTTACCGAATACTTTCACCGAAGAAGCAGCGATATGAATCTAATTCACCACGGTCCACAGTTTTTCATTCGCGTCTGTATCAACGAAAGGTTACTAATTATTCGATGCTCCTGCCTTTCTAACTTTTAAGCGTGATCGCCGAAGAACCATTCCTTGTAAGTACGTACGCGTGTAAGAAAGCGGACAGTGAAATAAATTGTATACGTCACGTTTGCAATTCAATTTTGTGTGTACAAATTGCGGTGAAAGTGTATCGAGACGGATTTGACACCGACCTTGGGTAATTTTCACTCGGCTTATAGGGTGCGCAGGAAAGTGTGAAGATGGTTTTTTTCCCTTCCCGAAACAGTACGTAGGTATACCAGCAGCGTCGAAAAGTCTACGGTTTTCTAATATTATTTTCTGCTTCGTGGACCGGGTATAATACAAATGATAAAAAAGTAATGATCAACGTTACGTGGCAGTTATTCGATCGTAGGAAAGACTCAATGATGTCGCGTACAATTTGTTTATCCGCCAATTCATTTTTAGGCGAAGATTTTTATTGTTTAAGTCACAAACAGCTTAATAAATGTTCAAATAGACTTTTCAAGTCATTCATCGTTGTAATGGATTAACTTCAATTTCAAATTGAATGACTGCTTTTCAAGTAATCAGAAGAATATAATCATTTTTGTTCAAGCTACTCGACAAAAAATCTCAGCATCAATTATTTGCTGTATCAGGTTGATTGGCGCAGAAGTATCTCGGAAGATACAGTTTTTGCAACCGAACCGATTGCTTTCACTTCTTAATTGCTTTTACTTATAAATATAATCGATTTAAAGTAATTGGTTTCCAATATTGGTGAAACGTATTCACGTAATATATTCGTACGTTTTCAATGTGTATACATATTTTCTGTATGTACACAACCGAGCTATGAGGAATTTGTTTTACAACAGATCTAATGCATCTTTCTAATATATCCTGGGACACGGCCGAGACTTTCTCCAGAAATGGTAGAGGGGAAGCAATTAGAAACAAATTTTTTACAACTGTTGAGAACAATAAGTGGCCGGCCATTTTCTAGGGACACTGGCCAATGAATATTTGCTCTGTAATTGCACTTCCGCTCGCCCGGTCCTCGAGGCGTATCTCGAGGCGCCGTCGCTCTCTTTTAATTACGACTATTAAGATCTGTACATTTGTAGTTGGATATTCCCCCAGACAGGGATAATCGTCATAAAATTTGTTTATATAATGCAGTGCACAGTGTTAATTGACGTGGACGTTCGAAGAGAATTCATTAACAAACATACAATTAATTACAGAAAAATGCCGCGTCGAATTGTCTCGTCAATTAGGAAATGAATTAACAGTTTCCTGTAGGTATTGACGCCAGGAAGATCGCAATTACGCATGGAATACTTCGATCAGCTTTGTCACGTTGGAATTTATTTACTACAAAATCGTTCGTATGCGAACGTTAAAAGTAAAAGTGCGGAAGATACAAAAAGTGGATGCAATGTAGCAGTTTTTACAATGTGCTTGCTTCTTTGAGTCGTACATGTGTGTATACAGAGTGCTTCAAATTAGAAGGAAATGTTTGTTATTATTTAAAATAAGAAATTTTACTACGTGTATAGGATTTCTCAAAGATCGCGGTACACGTTAATTACATTATATAACTGTTCTGAGATGTACACAGGTTGTTCCAAAATACTGTAATGTGTTCTTGTCACTGTCGATTATTATCGAGCCATATAAAACTCAACCATTGTACACCCTGTAGACCAATAAATCGGAAGGTCGTTGACACGCTGTTTAGGCGTCGCTGATCATTCGAGAGCCGCGGGGATTCAGCTCGGCTTTTCTCGACACGCTTTTTGTCAATCGTAGAAAAGCCAAACCCATTCGGCTGTCTCGCATCGCTAATCACCGAATATAAAAGATCACAGAGTCTCCGTCGCAGCCAGTTAGGAAGAAACTGCGGTGCTTGTCTGTGCTCGTTCAATCGGTGCCATGTTGGTACGTTTGTCGTGATCGTTATCGACAATTCGTCAGCCGACATCAAAATTTATTCTGAAATCTTAATTACGTTGCAGATCATTTACGTCGCGTTATTTATACCGGCATTGATTTCGGCGATAACAACGGAATACCAGCCTTCCTCCACGGATTTCGTGAAATCTAAACGAGGAATCGTTGAGTCAAGCCACGATGCTCCGCGGGAATACAGATTTCGTCAATCGAAGCCAATGAATCCACGCAGCATTCAAGGCAACAATGCTAAATTGTCTTACTACAAGGATAAACCTCTTCCTCGTGACGCTGCATCAATTAGTTCATCAGTTTATGAAGGTGGATTCAAATCACCCGCCCCCTACGGTGGCTTGGCGTCAGCAGTTCGTCAATCAGAAGGTCAAATGAAGGAGTCACCGTATTTCGGCAATCTGTTCACTATATCTAGCGGGTACAGAGTGGCAAACGAGGCTGTGCCCGTGAAGCAGGTGTCGCGTAATCCAAATGCAGGTACGAATTTAGTATTTCCAGGTATACACATATGATGTTAATTATTTTATAGAACACTAGGATCCAAAGTTTCTTATCGTTTAGCAAATCGTATGTGAGCGATCTTTGAAAACTGCTTAATAATCCAAAGATCTTATAATGCATTGAAAAGTACACAAAAATGAACGAGGACCTAGTGACAAATTACTAGATTTTTGATCACAGAATTTGTTTTCAGGAATGTACGGCGTCGTTCCGTCCTCTAATGTCCATGTTCCACTGTACAAGGCTAATTACGCGCCGCCAAAGGCCGCAGGACCACAGTTTTACTCGACCAATGTGCAAAATCCGTACAATAAGAAGGTTTCGCCTATCACGCAGGCGCATAATCCTATGTACTACAACAATTTCCAAAGCCAACCGCTGGTCCTGAGACCTGTGGATCAGTTTAGCTACCCGGCAAGAACGCCCAAAGTGAATAACGTGCAGATGAGCGCGCCCTTCTTGTCTCCTCTTTCCAGTTTTCAGGGTCAAGTGGTTCCTATCCCGATCACCAATGCCAATCCACAATTTCCGCAATACAAGGGTGCCGCTATAGAAGTTCATCCAACTGTTGGCGGGTTCTCTACGTTCGGCTACGAGCCCCTTCAGACGCAACCGCAGTTACACTTCGGTCATGGAAATGGTCAAGCTCCCGGCGGACACCATAATCTCGGCCCTGCGCAAGAGATCCGAACCGATGTGGAGATTATTGATAAGAAAAAGCCTATTCCGCCGCCTAAGAACGACGACGACGACGATGAGGATAATGATGACGGTTCGTAATGAGATAAAAGTTAGGAGAATTATAGTGTGAGGGAATCCAGTTCGGGTGGCTAGTTATTTTTAGTACTCTTAGTTTTATTACCATTGCAGATTACTGTATATAGAAGATGGCAACATTGATTGTTGTACAGTTGAAATATTTCAATTAAAGATTTTGATAGTATCACTTATACTTATCGTTACATTTATTACACAACTGTAATACTTGAAAATAAGATTTTCAGAAATATACAAATATTGTTCTTCAGGCTATCTGATATTTAAGTTAAAATTTCGAAATACAAATAATTTGATTTCACAGAGCCCGAGAAGGAATACGGACCAGGCCATCATGGCAACGACGATTACGATTCAAAACCAGACAGACAATTCAAACCATCTACGACAGAAGGCGATTTCAAGCCTTCCGCAGATTTCCCTTTCAAACAATACGACGAAACGTTTGGCAAGTACTCGAGCCAAAATGAGGAGGCTGAAGAGAAGCCGTTTACCAAGTATAGTGATTATTCATCTTCGTATAACGACGACAACGAGGAAGACGCGCCATCAGGGAAGTATCATTCGGAAGGCAGCTCTTCGAAGCCATTTTATGGTAAACAGGAAGATGAGGATGAAGAAGATGGCCGCGGTTATGAAAGACAGAAGGCTGAAGATGATAGTTACAAGCATAAACACTATGAGAAAAATTTTGACGATGATTTTGAGGAACCTTATCGAAGGGATATATCCAAACAGAGTGAGCACAGTTTAGTTAACATACTAATTTCATTGTTTTCCTTGCGGAAAGGCAGAGATAAGCGTTTTTTATGTGGTTCCAGGGTACGGACAGATAAAAGAAAAATCAGAAAGTGATTTCAATTCGAGATCTCCATACGTGAACGAGGATAACAACGATTCTGAGGACTCTTCCGGTCAAGGAAGTCGAAACAGCTATAACTATCACAAAAATCCTCGGGAATCTAAGGATAACGAGGGAGAAGGCTCTGATATTATGTTACAAGTAGCGGACGAAGGAGGTTTCGGGTATAAAATACCTGAGAAAGTGAGGAGCTTTAAGCAAAGAAAGGTTATTGTTAATTGACATAGTTCTCCACGCTTTTGTCGCAAACGTAACAGTATATTGTTATGCAATATTCTGCGAGCAGCGTGTTTTCTTTATTGAAACTGTTAGAATACAGAACAGGTTGGTACATAATAGGAAACCATGTAATTTATATTCTTTGTTACATTTGTTTGTATATATGTCCTAGTTGTGTAATAAATATAAGTATGCCAAATATCCAACTCGTTTCTCTTCATTCGTTCAATGATTATCATGAAACGCCCTTTGGCAAACTAATTGAATATTATTGAAACGTCAGTATCAATTTCTGGAAATATTCTATACCTCATTGGTTCTAAAATCATTTAAGCATATTCAAATCCTATTTCACAGATAATGGAGAAATGCAAAAAGAATATTACATGTTGAACCAGTACCACTTAAACAATTATCGCATTGTGCATGCATTCTGTGCGACATGAAATAACATTTGATATTATATCAGTATTATAAAATGTTAGTACTGGAATTTCGTAGCAGCCATTGAAACAGGGAAACTGCAAATGGAAGTAATACATTGAACATCATAATAATATCAATTAGTCAAAGTGAAAGGGAATAATAGATATAACGTATTATTTGCCTATTATAATCTCGTTCCTCAAATGAATTATTTCACGTTTATACATTTGACTTAACAAATTCGCCATTTCCTTATAACAAATGAGTCCAACCGGAAGCCCGTGGGTTGCAGTTACTTTTCAATGATTTCCTGGCCACGAAGATAAAATACCCGTTGGTGTCTATCAATTTCCAGTCGGATGACTTGCCAGATAGTGATTGTATCGAAACGCCAACGCGCCATTAAACAATACAGACCTATAATTCTACAGCGGTCTGTCCATTTTTTCCCGTTCTCTTAATTGTCTTAATTAATTTTGTCATTAGAACCGGCGGCGATAAGACATTCCCCGCAAATCAGAATCTGTATATATACTCGTCCTTCGACTCGGAGAATTCAGTATCATCGATATCGTCTTTACAGACCTACCAAGATGAACACCGTTTTTGCAGTAATATTCCATTATTCTTTTACAATATTGCAAATTTTCTTACTCTCTGTTTTTATATTTTCTCTGTGTATATTTTTATATATATATAAAACTTTAATTGTCAACGCTTATAGATTTTTGTTGCGTTCGCCGTGACCAATATGGCGGAGTTAAAATCGATATCGAAGAAGGAGAAAAGAGGAGTGCCTGTGTTTGGACATTCCGGTTACGATTTCTTTGGCGCGTCGCCAATTTTCCCCTCTACACCGTGGGCTCCAAGTGCTTTTGGACCTTCTGCCTGGAGCCCTTCAGGTGTACCTGATATTCCCTTGACGCAAGTGCAGGTGCAAGCGACGCACGATGTTGCTATTCAGGTATAAACAATAAATAAAAATTATTTAATGAGTAGCATCACTTTGACTCGCTCTTTATTGCTTATATTGTTGATAGACCTTGAAGGATCCAGCCCCTGGGACTCCCAGTATAGCTTATCCCCCAGATATCATCAGAGCGATTCAACAAGCTAAAGAAGCGAACGAAAACGTGCACATGGCTCAGCAAAGAGTGGCAGAGGCAAAACAAGCTACTGTTATTCAGCAGAAGGTTGCACTGGCGAAAGAAGCTGCCGCTAGAGAGGCTACGGCAAGGTAAATTCTTTGAAGTAACGACAGAAAGAAGAACTAAGTAATATCGTGAATGACGTTAATCTTTTGTATACTAGAAAGCTGAAAATGAAGAAAAAAGGAAGAAAAGAAGGAAAGATTACTTACTTATAATTGTTGCTTCATTATTTCTTTTCAAACGCACGGATTAACTTGAAACGTACAAAGGCTCAAGTGTTCATTCGCGTTTCGTTCAGAATAAATTGTTGAACGACAGGAAATATAGGAGATCTCTTTTCGTATTCACGAAGCATATGATTCCATTCCAAAGGTCGCAAGAAATATCATCGACAGCAGAAGCTGAAGCCAGATCCAGTGCCAAGCAGCTAGTAGCTCTTCAGCAGAGATTAGCGTCACTGAAGGATGCAGTCGCAGCTGCACAACGGGTGGCCGCAGCGAGGGAGGCAGCCGCAGCTGCCGCGATTCAGAGGAACGCAGCAGAAACTGCAGCTGAGTTGCAGAAACAGGACGTCGATAAGCAGATCAGTCAAAGCGAGCAAGAGGCGAAGGTATAAAACACTGAATCGATTTCGAATCAGTATCCGTATCATTAAAGCGAACAGATTTCTCTTTAACATAATTTTCTCAAAATTAAAATCTCCATTCCTTCGGAATCATATACTGATCCATTCGCATAAATTCACCTCGAAACGAACTTTCACAACGCTAAATCATCCGAATTTTGCAAGCGTCACTTAAATGTTCAATTCCTTGTTCATTGTTCCCAGGAAAAAGACATCATAGCAGCAAAAGAGAACGCCGTAGCGAACGCAGTACAGCTCGCAGCGCTGCAGAAACCGGTGCATCCCACCTGGCGCAGATAAAAACCTCTCTCCGCCATGAAGCCACAACCTTGTATTTTTTCTTGTTACGGTGACGGTACCTAATCCTTATGCTTGTTACGAATAAACATTGTTTCACAAACCTGCCATCGATTAATTAATCCGCGCATAGAAAGTCCCTATAGCTTTCACTTCGACCGAACACTGTATCATAACGTCCTACTCAACATCGAACTCTCGCAGTCACGCGTTAAACCCAATCTCTCCGTTACGCCGAAAAGGAAGTCCGGATCCGTGTCATGTAGCGAACGGTTCGTCGAGCAGCGTTCATCCGCGTTTAAGGATTACCTAACGCGGTGACACAGTTGCCAGTCGATCATCGTAACAAATGGATCGTTAAACGTGCAGCCGGTAAAACGACGTTGCCTGGCTAAGAATAATTTCTAGGGGGTCAGCTGCGGTGTCACCTGTTTCCTGGATCGATCCGAGACAATGGCACCGCGATCAGGGGAAGTCGCGCAGTGAAAGTGACGGCGCGCGATCCGTGTTCCGCGGGGAAGACGGTGGTGTATCAACGGGAGAGAAGAATGCAAGATCAGTGTCCAGTTACGTGCAACGGAACGGCAGAACGATCGAGTTGGATAAACTCTCTTTGTCGGATCTACGAGCGTGTCCCGCACGGAATCCTTTCACTCGCCTCGTTCCTGACCATCCGTAACACCCCCCTTTCTCCGCGCTGGCCGCAGTCAGTGTCCAACCAGGCTGGATCCTTTCTGCTCGCTGGCCGCGGCTCCGCGAATCAGGAGCAATTACGAGGGAAGAAAGTCGTTCGATCAAAGTCGCTCTTTCTTGGCCCGGTGACTTCCATCCGAACCCGGCGACCATTTACCTGCACAATGGCCCTTTCTGTCACCGTTCCGGCCACCGAGTCTAAGAAAGAAACCGACCCTGGGGCTTGACCGATGCACCCGCGTCCAGTCGAATTGCGCCGGTAGCCGGACGCTCGATTTAATGGGACCGCCTGATTCGCAGCTGGATTGCCTCGATGGAAAATAATCTGTCTTCGGGAACGGTTTTGCTGGGCTTCAGCTTGGAGTTTTGGATCCAATTCTGTTGGGAAGTTCCGAAGCGCTTTCGATTTATTTCCTTGGCGACTGAGTTTCTGGATTATTGACCTTCAGGGAAACCGTTTCGGTTAACTTTGGGACTGGATAAACCGGAAGTCTGCCTTCATTCTTTCTACTCGAAAGTTTTTCAGTGAGAGTACTCTACGTTTTCTGTTGAGATACGGACGACGTCTTTTGAAATTTAGCTAATGAGAAAGCATCCATAAATTGAGGAACAAAGCTGTTTCATTCCAGTGTTTCGTCAAAATTAGAAAGACTTGATAATTTTGCTACATAGAATCAAGTCATGAGCGAGAGTCACTTCTGGAGTGTAAATGTTAATAATCGCTTTCCTATTCGTCATGGAATATATTCTTTTGAGCAGACCTAGAAATAGGTAGAGAGACCTCCGATTTTTGAGTTCATAAAGTTCGAAGAAAGCTACCGCGAATTCAAAAACCACTGAAGACAATGAAAAGAACAATGATCTTCTATAAAATCAGATTTAAAGTGAGACAGTTATGCGAAGAATTCCATTCTCCGAATGCCTACGAATGTCATGAAATAATTTCATAATCGCTCGTTTATAGCATCCTTAGCATCTGTTATCCATCCTCTGTAACATCTCCTATCAATCCACACTATAAAATTTTATTAATACTTAACTTTTATGAATGCTATATAATAAAATTCTCCGAGGCAGAAAGCCTACGTACTACTACTCATCTGCATTCGGATTTCTTTCCTGCATCAACGCGTTCCTCTCGCGTGTAAATGAATTCTAATTAACCGTTACGGGAGCCAGGATATCCGATCGGGGATGTTACATGGAATAATCAGATCGTTCCGCGCGATTCTGAGTTATATCGGTCAGCGAACTGACACGACCCGCAATCGATATCCGCTCCAGTAACGTAGCCTTGTATTCGGCTCGACCTTAGCCAGCCATTGGCAACGAAACCGTGCAACAGTGATTTCAGAAGAAGGGAAACGGCCTAACCAGTTTGAACGGAGGATCGAAGTACCTGCCGGCCGTGGCAGCTACGACTATTATAACGGTCGGGCAGCGCTCCTCCTTTCACACGGAACCGGCCAATACTTTCATCGATGCTGCTTTTTTGGATCTACTCGCGTTTTGCCTTTTACCTTACCCAGTTTTATTTGCTTTCCTTTCTTATTGCGTGAAAGACCTCGCTACTCTCACTGAGGCCGACACCGACGCTACTAAATGGCTACGAGACGCATTGATTTACCCGATCTCCATACGCTTCATCGAAATAGGAAAAAAACGAAAAACAGCTTAAAATAATTAACGACAATTCACTTCGCGCGGTTCACGATATTTCGTAATTTATCGTTTCGGCTACACACATCCGACGATTTTACTCCGTTCACGGCACACGGTCACGCTCGGCTTCCAGCCGAGAATTTTCTGACGGTGACATCGCAAAATAGGGCAAAACGGAAGAAAGAGGTCCCGCGTGGAAAAGGAAATCGCTTTCATCGCTTGGGCAATCGCGAAGGATCACGGTCGGTCCGCATGGGCGTTCACCACGTTCACCTAGACCGCGGTAGTTAGCGAATCTGACGGTGCATTCCGTCAGCGTTTCTCGAGGAAGGCCAACCGACGATCCGCCAGTTCCTCGCGTGAATTTCAATCGCCGGCCCGTGTCCACGTTTCAAATTATGTTGGTCGAAGCAGCTCGACCCGAAAGTACATACGAATCCTGCTGCTGTGGATCATACCACTTTACTGATCCACCAGCAAGAATTTCGATGGTGTACGACCGCTTTAGACGGCCCGTAGAGAGAAAAGGTCTCGACGGTAAGCTTCGACAGAGTGAACGAACACGAAACCTTTCGTGGTCCTCGGTTCCATCAGCGTGACACCGAAAGCCGCGTCTAGGGTGTCCAGATGCACGAGTGTCGTGTTTCGTCGGCGTGCTCTAGCGTTCGCATTTCCTATACGCGCGACGCGTATGATACGAGCGCGAGCATGCAAGTCCGGTTTTCAGGAGAGAGATCATCAGCCAGGGAGAGGGAGAAAGCGTATAAAAAGGAGCGGTCCATCGGCAACTACCCGCAGTATCCGTATCCGTTTCTCGATCCACTGTCCTCGTCTAGCGGTGGAAATATGTTCGCTTGGCCCTCCGTAAGTACACTGCCAGGAGAAAGACATCCGGCGGGGTTAGCAAAAAGCGGGAAAGCCGATCGCCGGGATAAGCGGATGGATACGCTACCCTCAGGGGAGGAACCGGTGAACCGTGACGAAAAATTGCCCCCGGTTCCGCGCTTGTACCGCGAACAATGCCGGTGAAAAGTGTCTATCGTCCGCGTGGCTTTCCTGTGTGCATACGCGGGGAGATGCGTATCTCGCGGGACCGCTCGTAAAACGATCCCCATTCACCGCGAGTTTTATATTCATGCCGGTGAAGGGAGTTACGGTCGACGTTGTGGACACTTCATCGGGGAACATGTGATCTCGTAGTTCGTTCAGCCACCGTGTATCTTTGTGATCGAATTGTTCCGCGAGCGATATGATCTAGCTTCTCGTAAATTCGATGTTGCTTTATCATTTTCAAATGTTCTTCTTCCGGGCTGAATTAACGGTTATGTATTCCAGGTACTCGTGGTTTGTCTGATCGCTGAACACGCGATCGGGAGTATAGATATTGGGGATGCTGGAGGATGGCAAGGGTGAGAGGTTCATCGAAGTACGATGCGAGGAAGATTCTGGATAGGTGCTAATTGGTGTTGCGTCTGTTAGGGTATCCGGGGACGGCGGCTACGGGACAGGACACGGTGTAGAATTAGGACATCTGTCGGGCGGTCTTCACGATGGCCTGTCCGGTTACGGTTCCTATGGGGGTGGAGGTTTTGACCACGGACTGCATGGACATGTTCAGCATCATTACGCGCCCGCTGTGCCTGTCAGCGAACACGTTGAAGTTACGAAGCCTGTTCCTGTACCTGTCGTTAAGAATGTTGGTAAGTTTCATGTTTTAAAACGTTGATCTGCTAACTTAAAGGAAAAAGCAAGAGTTACATTGGGATAAGTAAAAACTGTTGTATAAAAATCGGTTCCTTGAAATCTTACATAATAACTTTAATTATTTCGATAACTATTATAGTTCCGAAAGTTCCGTGAATTCTAATAACTTCAATCAGTTCGATGACGTTTATAATTCTTATAATTTCCAAAATTCTGATCATTTTGGAGCCACGATAAAGTCGATAGTAATACCTAACTTTTCCACGAATTAAACTCATAGGCTTAGTCGAATTCCTAGTAGCAACTGTCAAGTTCAAACTGTACGAAGAACACCAGTAAAATTCCGAGTCCATTCAGCCCCCACTCCGAGTACCCCCCAATTATAACACTTTCTCGGACAACTACAACTCAATTGGTTTTTGTGTAACCGCAAAACAGGAGTGCCAGTCGCCCAACCAGTGGCGATACCAGTGCCACATCCGGTGGCTGTGGGCGTAGCACAGCCGTATCCGGTCCATGTACCAGTCGCCAAGCCCGTCGCGATCCCGGTGGTGAAGACCGTGGCGATCCCGGTCGAGAAGAAGGTTCCGTATCCGGTGGAGAAGCTAATACCGGTCCCAATCGAGAAACCCGTGCCTATACAAATAGAGAAGCACATACCCGTGCCCGTTGAAAAACCATATCCTATCCATATCCCGGTGTACAAACACGTGTTCCATCGGGTCAAGTCCCACGGAGGCCATGGTTGGAGTCATTAGTTACATCACCACGCCGGTGAAGATTATAGTTACAGACACCTCTAGATGATGGGACATTGACGAGATTCCCGGTAGCGGAATCTCAGCCATTCAGCAAGAGGACTCGAATATTTGCATAGAAAGTGGACGAAGACATTTCCTTGGCGTAACGGTCGAAGAAACACGCGCCGCCAATTTTGTTGGAGGACATCGATGCGTCCTCACAATAGTATTATTCAACGTATTTATGGTTGTTAATTCTGTTATTCCTGTTGCCAAATAAAGAATTAATTTTTTAGTTACACCGTCTACCTTTATTTAACGCTGCCCAAATAGGTTTCAGATAATTCATTGATATTAGGTAAGATCGATTTACCGATGTAACACGATTTCGTTGCATTAGGTAGAATTTTCCTATTACGCTCGTTAACGAAACTATTGCGGTATCGTAGATTTTTCGGGGAGATCTAGGGACTTGAACATTTCCTAATTCCCTCGATCTTAAAGCGTCCACTTACCAAAATCCCACTATTGTCGATTCTATACACGAAAGGTCTTACTGTTACCGTTAACGAATCTTTTATGCAATTTAGCGACCTTTGCAACAATGTGCCTATTAAGTAACACCTATAGTTAGTACGCGAAAAACCTCGGAATTTACGATTACACAGTGAACAAGCACATTAGCAAACAATAGATTCAACAAGCGGACGATAAGCGTACAGTGACAAGAGGCAGTTATGGTACAGAGGTAATAGACCATTTCGTTTCGCGTAAATTTCCGTGAAATTCGTTGCCGACATTCGAGACACGGATCCACAATCGCAACGTCGCGTCGCCTTTCAATTATCATTATTTTCTGGCCAGTTTCAAGCCGAGCGTATCTTGCGACAGGATGCTTTCGTTATGCTCTCTTCACACGGACTGTCGAACGCGGGAGCATCCTCTTTATCCAATGTATCTGAGCGCGCAAACCGTTTGTCGCTTCTCGCGAGAAATGTTTTCCACAGTTCGCGCCGGGAGCTTAATTACAGGCGCGAGTGGGAGAGTTCAGGGAAACTTTCTTGGAAGTAACGAACAGATTCTTAGACAGAGCAGAGTTCTCCGACAAATGTGGAAAGGGCGGAATCACTGCGACATTTAGATCTGTTAATTACAGAATGATAGATGCTCGAGGCCCGGAAGTAGCTCGATGCTTTCATTACGCTGCAAAAACTTCGACGTTGGCCTGGCAACTCTGTCCCCGGGCTACAGATCGTTATTCTCCTGTACAAGTTTTCACGAGCGCCCCGTGAGCTGCATTTAAAAATGAACGACACTCGCAATATTTTTTAATTAATTTCAAACTTTAATTGGACTTCGGAACGAGTGTTTACATGTTTGTGGCTACACTTTCACGACTAGCGCGCGACCCTTCCACGGAATTTCCATTAATCGTAAATGAAGCAGTCCAAAATGAGGAATAAGATTGTAATTATATTTAACCACAGCTTATTGGACGCTGATGATGCACCTGTCAATCTCGCAGGTGTTTTATCGTGTAGAAATACGTACCAAGAGAAGCATAATATAATGTCATAACATACTCACAGAATCTAACAACCTTCGGTCATCCATGAGAAGCGGGAAAATTAATTAATCTTCGTTGTAGGCGAGGAATTCTTACGCTTGGTATTTGCGTGTCATTAATTTCTTCTGCTCTATTTTCCGCGTAATTGCAAACGAAAGTGACCGCGCCCGTTCATTGGATTTCCTCACTGTCTCGACAAGTTGAAACAACCATCGAGAGTCCGATAAACCAACGGATCATCGAGACCCAGACAGTTCCGTTAACCCTGAACAGAAATCGGTAGTAAGAGCCGGTAATAGAAAATCCTGGATGAAAAGTGCTCGCGCGCGTGGGCACTGACCTGCGAATAGATCAGAAACTGTCTAATTTGCTCGGCCGCCGTTCGATTCACAAAAGCGGCCAATAGATACGGCGGTGTTTCGCGTGGACGGGTCGACGGAGAAACTATTGCGCGGATCGGGCGGGGCTCGTTAGACGAAGCATCAGGACCATACTACATCGTCGACAGTGAAAGGCTGGACGGTATATTAAGACGAGCAATGAGCAAAGATGTATCAGTCGCCGAAGGAACCTCTACGACTATCAGACCGGTGCATACAGCTATATGCTTGTAACCATGAACGGAATCGTGAGTAACGAAATCGAGGCGGAGCAATCCGAAAATTCATTCTACCATTTTCGAAATTCTATCGAAACCTCCCTGCTCATAGAGTTTCGCTGCGACTCGAGACTGCGCGTGTGAACGCGTTTGTAGATTGTCCAGGAACGTTCGGGAACGAGTGTGAGAATTTTAGAACACAAACTTCAATGAAGATCAATTACTCGTTATACCTTTGAGTAGAAATTTTTGAAGAGTAATATGAGTTTTCAGTTAATTATTGAAAATAGAATCGGACCGTTTTTTCTTTGTACAAATATTCGTAGTCTATTCGCGGAGATTTCAACTATTTAAACGAAATTCAATAGAAACTAATTCGTCTAGTCACATTACTTCCGAAGCTCTCATCGCTGTGTGCAAAGTGAAGTGAGAATTCTAATTCATTTACTCGATATTTATTATCCAATCAACTTCTCAGCGCGAGGAATAAATTTCAGTGTACCCTTTGTAATTAAAAAGAAACCTAGGAAAACGGCTCGCACGAACGCTCGCAGTCTATTCATTAAGTACCCGAGAAAACATCGATCCTCCGCAATCTCCGCTTTCCATCACGATTGTCGGAAGGCAGTTAACAGCCTAGGGTAGCGTTACCATTCGTTGCGTCATAGGCGTCTCCCAGCGATTGACGATCATTTAATATTTCTCGATGAACGACCGTTTCATTGAATAATATTCGCGGGAAGGAGTCCCCGATGCTTTTACAATGAACTTACACTTGGACTTTACCTTCGGCGCAGATGCTGCTTTCTCTGGTGTCCTTGGCCGCGGCCGTGCCGGTGATCGTGAACCAGGGCCAAAACGAGCAGTATCCTCAGCTGTACGGTGGTTTCCAACCTTTAGAAAGGTCCGACCAGGAGAGCCATGGCACGTCGGGAGGCGGAAGCTACGGCGGCGAGTACAGCGGTGGTGATTATGGTGGCGGCGATTACGGTGGCGGCAGCTATGGTGGTGGCAGCAGCTACGGTGGCGGCAGCTACGGTGGCGGCAGCTACGGTGGCGGCAGCTACGGTGGTAGCAGCTACGGGGGTGACTTCAGTGGTGGCCACGGCGGTGGTTTCGAGGGATCTGTCGGAGGACACTTAGAGGTATCCGGTGACCACTTGGGTTCGGATTACTCGTCCCTCGGGGGTGGATACGAAGGAGAACACGAGGGCGGAGTTTCCCTGGACGGTGGCCACAGCGTGGTCCAGAGCGTTCCTGTCTCCGAACACGTGGAAGTTACCAAGCCCGTGCCCGTTAAAGTGATTAAACACATCGGTAAGTCCCTAATTGCTCGGCTAACGTTATCTCGCTAATAGCGCGGCGTAATCTTTCTCGAGAGGAATGAGATCTTCGTAGCAAATGTGCAATTTAGTTTCATCGTGGATTAGGAGGTAATTTGTCTTACGCTGTTGGTCACCCTCTTTGGATTCGAGGGTGAAGTATTTAAGGTTTTTCCGAAGGAAGTTTATTCTAGCAAATTTGAGTATCGACAGTTTGAATTGTTGTACTAGACCGAAACTCCAAGACGATTCGAAGTAACGATACGTTATGGCTGCGAAACGACTAATTACTCCGAGTAATTGTTCAACTTTCAGAAAGTTTGAAAGCGAAAACTCCACGGAAAGTTACCGTTGCGCGGCTTTCAGTGAATCTGAGTCGTTAAGTTTGTATTGTCAAGCACAACGGTATTCGAGCTGAGCGTGAGTTGCAGTTTTAACGACGTCGCAAGTTCGAAATGCAAATTCGTTTCGAATTTCAAATATCGCGCGTTGAGTTGCTCTCTCTTCAGCAGCTTTTATAAAATACCACTTCCATAACGTTTAGCGGCTTCGGTGGAAGTTATACTACAAATCGATGCAAATTGAAAAAATTAGAAGCAAATCAACGTATCGAGATCTGACAGTAATACCAACAGATTTTATTCACAAAAAATTCGATAAATTCCTTAATTTATAATTTCATTCCATTATCCATCAAACCGTACAGAACACTTTGTAATTCATAATTCAATCGTACAATTCATCCATAAAAAGTTCTATAAATCTTCCTATTTTTCTAAACATATGCATTTTTATTTTAGGGGTACCAGTTCCTCAGATTCTGAAGATAGCAGTGCCACATCCGGTGCCAGTTGGTATCCCCCAAAGCTACCCGGTTGCCCAGCCAATCCCCAAGCCAGTACCAGTGCAAGTGATCAAGACAGTGGCAGTGCCTGTGGAAAAGAAGGTCCCATTCCCTGTGGAGAAACATATTCCGGTGCCAGTGGAGAAGCCAATCCCGATCACTATCGAGAAACACGTGCCAGTTCCAGTCATCAAACCGTATCCTATCAAGATCCCCGTTTACAAGACGATCTACCACCACGCGAAGAAGCACTAAAACAACATCGGCTGGTTAGGGGAACGATCCGTCCGGTCGATGCCGTAACGACCGTAGACACCGTTCACCGCTTTTACTGGAGGTTTTACAATCCGAGCAGCCCCGACGGGACCGCGGAGAAAGTCCACGAAAAAGGGTCCGTTCGCTAGGACCGTAAACGACTGCGCCTACCAATCAATTCTGTTGTACATACTTCTAAACGATGTTTCTGTTGTTCTATTTTCCTATAGTCTACCTTTTTTATTTTTATTAATTTTTTACTGTTTACTGTTTTTTCTTTGTTTGTTTTACAATAAAATATTCAGAAAATTGTACACCATGTCGATCATTCTTTCGCGGTGAAAGTCACTCGAAGATTTCCTCCTCGGCATCGAGAATCCTATCGATACCGTCGTTAAATCTACACTAACATCGGAGGGAGCGCTGTAATTAAGGTTTCGTAGGAGTTTCTTTCTCGAGCCTTTATTATTTTACAGATATTTTACAAATAAATCCACGCCCGATACGTGGATTCGATGACTTTGCGGAGGTGTTGAGTTTTACTGAATGGGGAAGCCGATATAGTACGAAAAGATCGAATGCATCTCCCAGGAGAAATTCGATAGTCGCAAGGAACTTTCCATGTTGGATCCGGGGGATCGTAGAATTTTTCCTGTTGCCCCGTGTGGATCGGATACCGCGCGAGCCTGCCGATCTATCCTGAGTTAATGCGCCCGAGATGATAATCGAGACTTTCACTGGTATTTTCGATACATAGGGTACGGATTCCGTGGAAAGTGAACGTTGCCAGCAGTCTAGTTCACGACCGAAGGTAGCGTGATTGTCACGATCGGCCGTTACTAATGAGTCGTGAAAACGGGGGACGGTAGCTTTTATGGTACCGATATCGGTGAGATTCGTATACCGGAACGACGCGCGTAAATTAGACTGATTCGATAAATAAACCAAATAACAATAAGAAATGGCAAGAGAATGACTCAAACGTCATCACTTTCCTCCATATCGAAGATCACAAAGAAAAAGTCACTGGCAGAACTGGAAGCGCGTTTATCAGCTGTTACATATTCATAAGCATGCAAAGTAGTTTTCATGCGGTTCGGTGTAACAATATTATTTGTTGAACGGTGAGTCGTACGATGATAGCGTGCGCTTTCTTGGCGATAGAAAAATGCATCGGAGATTCATGGTGTTCGGGAATTACGCAGTGTAATTTTGAGGAAGTGAACGGAGGAAATATACTATGAAGCAGTGACTAGGCTCCGTATCAATAACCAGATATTTTATAAAGTTTACTGGGACGGTATTATTATACACAACTCTCATACGACATGATAGTTGAATACTAATAAAGTTGCTTCTATCGTAAAACCGTATTAGATGGGATCTGTGATAAAAGCCTTTATAAATAGAGGATTAAACGCGCACACTATGTATGATGAAATTTCCATAGCTATTAGTGACTTCATTTTCATGGAAAACAGTGATATTAATCACTTTGTTCTCTGTCATTTTTATGGCCGTGTAAGGGGAATTGCGGAGCGCGTAAAGTGTCGACGCGTGACCGCAAATTCAAGTGAAATATACATTGACAATTATTATGTATTTTATAATATTTCAGAGATACTTCACAAAATGTGATAATACTATAATAAAACCATTGAATGACAATCAGTAGCAATTACTATTTATATCAGATGAAATTTCAATTTTTTAAAATATATGACACAGGAAATATGTTGAAAGGGATGGTTAATAATTAGTAATTGATCGCAGCTGCTATAATGATACACAACTACGAAATACAGTTATAAAGTAAGGCTACAAGATTCTGATCTTGGCGAATTAAGAACATGCACATTAACCGGCATGAGGAAGTGGGAAGTACAACCCGGTACTCCCACTGCCTCGCGAAATTTATTTAATAAGAGGCAAGAACATTCATTTGAGAGGCGTCCAGTGGAAAGGAGTCTGGGATCTAAATGGTCCGATGTAAGCAAAATGAACGCGTTAAAGTGAACAAGGTTGCAAATCGTGCGCCAGATGAAAGACGGAAGTGCTCTAGTTACGCAATCATCATGGCGAACAGGAGCGCCGTTTGAAGGAACAGGGAAATTGTAGCTCCATAGTGAAGGTGTTGAATAGGTTTCCACGGGATAGTGGGGTTGCTTGTCCCACGTTGCTCCTATATAAAGTCACTAAGCGGGGAATTCGACTCGAGTTGATCTTTTATTCACGAAGCACTCATATGCGCCTATCAAGGGAACAATGAAGAACATCGTACGTGAGTCGTGTCGTTGCCACGCTGATTAAAACGGAAGGGTTGATCGATTATGGGCATGTAATACCCGTTAAAATAAAAAAAAGAATATTCCATCGACATTCATTTCTAGATTAATTTCAATGGAAATGTCACGAACGGATGAGAACATTGAACTAAGTGTCAAATACTAATGGAAAAGTGCTTAACCTACCATATTTGTTCATTTCAAATATTTCTTGTGTATTAATGTCATCAATGTCTTATTCAGTAATTTCAATTTCAATTAATCGGATATCGATCGTTCGAGTTGATAGAATGTTAAGTAGCTTTGCCTGAAAAACTATTAAATGTAACTGTTCACGCTTCATTTTACTTCTTTAATATATTTTAATCAAACATATCCAGCCTTTCTCTTTTAATCGCGGTGTATGATACAATTAAGAGTACCAGTTCAATGATTACATCAACTAGTGAACGCTGCCAACCATTCTATTTTCAAGATCTTAATTCTGACGATTGCTGGTTGCTGCCTAGCCAGTGAATTAGAGTTGGGTGGCCATGGTCTTACATTAGGGGAAATTGCTTTGGGCCACGATGGCCACGACATCGATTTGAGCGAAATTGGTCTGACCGGTTTAAATTTGTCATGTTATTACGATTATTGTCGGCCGAATTCACGAGTCGGTTGTAACATACGTATTTTACATTATCAGGAGATGTGGGGTCCGAGGTTGAGCTAGGTCACGGCTATGGAGGTGGACACGGACACTTTATACCCGTTGTCAAAAATATTGGTGTGTAACTCAACCATAACTATCTTAATAATTACACTATATAATTACTTAAAATTGTACTCAGAATATCGTAAATGTGTCAATAGTGTTCATAATTCAATGAACCTCGTTCTTCAAGGATTTTCCTTTATTCTTCGTATTTTAGATGAATTCCAATAATCTGAAATACCTATTAACACATATAGATTATAATTCGTCTGTAATACAACTTTGAACTTCATTGCAACAGGAATACCAGTACTGAAGAAGTACCCATTGGCCATTCCAAGCCTACAGATCCAACAAGTTCCGCAGAGCTACTCTGTCCCGGTGGTTGTACCGAAACCCGTTCCTTATCCGGTATACAATGAGAACACGATTATTCTGTCAAAACATTTGCAATGTTTATTTCAAATTTTCTTTGTACCGCAGGTGGAGAAACAGGTCTTCACGAAGGTAGAGAAGAAAGTGCCCACGCCGATTGAAAAGATCATCCCGGTAAAGGTGGAGAAGCCAGTTCCGTTCCAAGTGGTGAAGCACATTCCTGTTCCGGTGGTGAAGCCTATTCCCATCAAGATCCCGATTTACAAAACGATAGTGCACAGACACAAGGGGCACTGATCACAGTTTGATTCGTCGATTGTTGATTCTTTATTTATTCCTAAACGTTACATATTCGACATTGTGATTGTTTACGTAGTTTTGTTAATACGATTTGTTAATAAATACGGTTATTGATCTGAAACATGGTACTTTCTTATCTGTATTTCCTTACAGGAAAGTCCAGATTACTAATTACTCCGGAATTATCGTAATTACGAATTCATGCTAAACAACAGACAACTTGATTATACGCGAGCCCGTTAATTAAAACTCAATTTATGACGAACCTGATATTCTCTACTGAGTTATCTATTAATTTACTGTTTCAAAGAGAGATACCATGCTTGTTTGAAATAGAAAAGCAGATTTCCAGGTATCTAAAGTGAAGCATATTTTTTGTATGAATTAGCGAAATATTTCCTGGTGGAATATCTCAATTACCAATTTCATTGGACTCTTAATACAATGGGAGGTATGCTATGAATAAATTATCTTAATTTTCATGAAAGTCGTTTACTAGAATGCCTGGGACGTAACAAGAACGATGAAACCATTAAATCGTGTCAAACATTCTCCTTCTGATCACAATTGAGACATGAGAGACCGGAGAAATTCCGATACTATTACTATTCCCGTATTACATTAACAGCCAGGCAATTTTTGGTGATCGTATCCCCTCACAATGGCGTCTGGGAACGGAGAGGAGAAAAGAGAACGTTCCTGTAGCGAAAGCAATCAATCGGGATTGCTTTCCTCTGCCATTGACCTTCGTGAATTCGACTTCAAGAGTATGTGCTGGCGGTGGCGACTGTAAAAAGCCCATTAACCGGGAAAAAGGAGAATGTCTGTGTCGTTCGTGAAACGTTTTACCAGTAAATGTTAAAGCATCGCGTTTGGCCTAAGGACTTATCGAAAGGAACGTTGGTTTTTTGGTAAGACAGGATAAAATTTGATTTGGGTAACACTGGTCTTGTTTCAGAAAATATTCTAATAATAACTCCTAGACTAGACTACACTAGATTATACTAGAATAGACTAGACCAGACTAAACTAGATTACACTTAGACTAGATTGACAATGAATAGCCAATGAATATTACTATATTATTATATCATTATTACCATTCCTATTATTTATAATACTTTGATAAGTTTATATTCCAATTCCTTCTATAATTTAATATTTCATGCCTATTTCCACGTTTCAATCACTCATACATAATAAAACAAAAAACGTTGGTGATAGTAGAACATTTCTCATCCGGTTTCTTCATGCAAGTGGATAAAAAATGAATTATCTGATTATCTAACAAATCTTCAAACAGAAATTAACGTGGTTAACGATCTCGAATAAATATTTCTTCAAAACAGCCTATATGATACGTAACTCAGTCGTAAAAGGAGTCAGGCATAGTTGAGCTGCCGATAAAAACGAAGTTCAAAGTCGACTTTCACTCGCACTCTTTCTCGATCTCCATTCCAAAACCGGAAGGCAAACGCACCGGACGTCGGAGCGAGGGTTGCCGGGCGCATCGTTAACGCAAGAAACGATGAGGTAATTGTCGGACACCGGAGTTCATCCGCGACGGACGAGCTCCGTTATCCTCTGGCCGCGTTGTCGGTAACCAGCGATCGGATTCCATCCGCGATCGAACCGCGAAAGAATGAGAAAAGGAAGAAGCACAACGAAGCGGAAAAGATCGTGGCGAAAGTGAGGCGTAAAGATGATCAGCATGTTCCGCTGATTCCTGCGATCGCGGGATCGCAAAATAAGGAAGAAGGATCAGTACAATGCAAGCCGCTGCTACATATTTCTGTGAAGAATGATCCAGTCTTCTACCTGGTTCCGTGTTACTCGCATCTCATTAGCCAGCGAACACGTTGCTCGTGAATATTCGCCGAGCATCAGATTAACTCCATCGCGTCAGGTGTCTCTAAGAACATCACAAGAATGATATCGCTAGATACGGTAGGAAATCTAATTCTGAAGGTAATTGAGTTTTTATGAAGCTGTAATTACAGCTTAAGACTCGTATTCTTCGTTGTTTTTTGTTTTTAGAAAGATAGGAAGCGAGTAGAGAAAATCAGGTTCAGCTTGTAATAGTAATTACGGCAGTTGCCATCGCATGGAGGATAATAAAATCATTTTACGTAATTTCATAGAGTTTCTTGCTTACGGAACGATTGTTTGGTATATTATCAGTTTTTATGGGATTTTTATAAAGTTATATAAAATAAGGTTATACAATGGAAATTCCTTTTCCTTATTTTCCGAATTTCAATTACTGAATTTTCGATTTCTGTGAAGGATTACCCATTATCCGAAGTTTAACAATGGTCTAGTCTCGCGTTGTTCCCTCGTCCCAGTGGGTAGTCCGATTTCTCTCGTTCTAAAGGAGCTTTCTTGCCGGGCACGTAAGATCTTACGCTCGAAGACAATCTATCAAATTATCCCGAAAGAAATCCTCGTGACCAGGCAGGCTTAATTGCCTCGATGCAAAGAAGCGCGAGGACTTCTCTAACGACTTGCTTTCGCGTGCGCTCGTCTTTGTCAGCGGTTCTTTACGATAACGAGCGTAATTCAGCGTTGGCTGGGCACCGGGCATGTGTGCCTACTTTAATAAAAACGTGGCCGAAAGAAATGCGCTCGCCGCGGCGAAAAAAGGCTCCCCGGCGAAAGTAAAATACAAAGTAGAGCTCAGCTGTCTCTTCGCTCGAAACGGTGTAAGCCAAAGGCGACTCGTGTCAGTTCTCTATTAAACATTCAAATGTCTCCTTTGGCGAAGACACGTTCACGCTCCCGTTGATCGATCCGTTTTCATGGCTCCCGGAGAGAAACCCTTTGTGCCCGGACTGGGATCGATGTCGGGCGTTCACCGGAGGTTCACCGGGAGGAACGATACCATTGTAAAAACTCCTTGACAGGAAAACGTCGGCGAAGCCTCGCCTCTGGGAAATAACCGAATATTCCTCCGGTAAGCCTCCCGCGGGGAACGGAAGGGAAAACATTGGGGACGATAGCTCCTACCGCGATCAGGGGTGGTTATCGTGTTTTTAAAATATGTTCGATACGTTTCGTTTCGTATCTTACCTTTTGCGTCGAGAGGTGATTCTTCGGTATAACCAATGATTTGATTCGATATAGCAAGGTTATAAAGTATTTTATATGTAGTATATATAATGCATCGATAGATGAAAAATTCAAATAAAATAGATTTTATTCTGAATTTACGTGTGCTTTCTCGTTAGTCAATTTTAGGAAATTGATGGAACTCGTCATTTTGGCAGATATTGAATTTCATAAACGTTGTTTGATAGTAGTTCATGTCGATTTAGATTGATAATTAATTTTCTGCTTTTAAAGCTCTAATTTTCAAAAACTGCGACTGAACATCTAGTTTTCTAGAAACAATAGATCCTAGTAAGCCTAATGTAAGCTTTCAAGTTTACGTTTATTTGTTGATTCATAATATTTACGTTTTATAATATTTCTCTGATAGCTTTCTATGGCTGAAAAGAGTATTCCCGGGCAAAAGTTAAATTCCCGTAGATCTAATTAGGTATCGTATATAAGGCTCAAGGAATGATGGCTTAAATGTTCAGATACTTTCCTAATGAGGGCACGTTTATGAGTATTAAATTCAAGAGAACGAAATGGTGAAAGTAATCATGTAATAAATCTTTACTTCGACTGAGTAATTACTGGTGCGGAATCTGTTCTGCATTACTCATTATAGATACTTATTTCCATCATTCTTTCGGGTCATAAAGTGTAAATATACGTGTGAAACGTTTAACTGACGCAGATCGGATTTATATGCAACACCGTTTTGCTATAATTTGATGATACTTGATTAATCCTTGGAATTGAAATAAATGTTTTCATGCTTGAAGTGTTGCTTTTTTCAAGAAGCTAGTTTACGACCTTCAATTGAATCTAATGGAGGTTTCTATTTACATTTTACGGTATATAAAACAATAATTCACAAAATGAAGATACTATAAAAGAATATTCCTCAAAGCCAATGTTGTTAAACGTTAAAGACACGCTTTCGCTGGTCAAAGGTGAGAGAAATCAGGAATAATGGAAGCCATGGGTGTCCAATTGAACTCCAATCACTGTTGGACCTTCGCCACCATAAAAGTCTTGTTCACTCAATTTGCTCCGTTGTCCCAGAGTCTTGACGAACATCTGCAGCTATATCTTCATTAAAACAGGAACGAATAACTCTCAACAAATCTGGCATGTCTTTTCAGAAACTTACCATTTGTGGCCACATGTTTCTCCAGATATTTTCGTGTTGCTTGCAACATATGTAACCATAAGATTGAAATAAAACTGAAATGTTACTCAGATAATGTTGCTTCGGTGTAAACGGACTGTCTCTGTAAGTAGATACTTCATGGAAATGCCTTGGAATATGTAACAACAAGAGGTAGCAGGAAGTCCTTCAATATTGCTTCAACGAGGACATACCTTTAAGGATCCTACACACATTGAAACAGGTTGCGATACATTCATCTACCTAGGTTTCTATGAAACTTCTATCCGCATTAATTCTACGGTACACTAACAATTCTTTTCAATTTATGGTGTGACCCTAGTAGCTTTTGACAGGTTCCTGATCAACGTTTGTTTCCGTAGGTATCTCGATAGTCACACCATTTCATTAAACGCAACAAATCGTTTTCATAAAATGCAAATAAAATTCAAGAGAAAGATCGCGTCAACTGCCCACATTTTACACAATACATAACAATTTTAGGTATAAACACACGTAAAAGTAATTCAGTTCTCTTTACGCAGGGTGCAAAACGTCGAGCATCACAGATATGTGAATAATACGCTAACGTTAATGCCGAAGTACACACATTGCAACATGTATCGCGAAATCCATAAGTCAACGCATGCTTCAACGTGTACAGAGGACTTTAGGGGTCCTCTAACAGGGTAGCTTGTCAAGCATTGCCTGCCAGGGAAGCATCCAGTCGCAGTAAACAGCCGAATAAACCGCGACGTTAAGTTAACGAGTTCCGATCGAATGTTCTTCGCCGTTGTCGCAGGGATTTATTCGTCATTCGGCTCGGTTGAACGAGTTTAATAAGGTAAGTCGCGGGAACAGTCGGTATTTACGTTTGATGGAAATGCTGTTCGTACGTTTCGCTTGGCCGGAAGTCCAAGCGGAGAGCCGGCGCGGCGTACCCTCGCAAACCGTACCGAAATCCGAGACAAACTTTCCAGCGTGAAATGATAGCCCACGGTTGCACGGTCTCCCATCCGGAGATATTACCATATTACATACTATCCGCGTTCGCAGTTGCCATTAACTTCTGATCTCTCTCATCTCCGGGCATCTGGGATTAATATATACGCCAGCGGACAACCAAATTGCGTCGCGGCGCTTCCCGTGCCAGGAGTACGCGGCCGCATAATTAAAGTCGAGGACGGGGGAGGAGGTCCGAATTAGAATTAGTATTATTTGTTTATTCATCAAATTCACTACTGTTCGTGTTCCCTCTATTTGAAATTGTCCGCTGTGGCGGTGACGGTTGTCAAAAATGCAATATGCCGGTTCACCGTTTTCGTAAACATATGTCACGTTTTCATACAAATATTTATGGAGACGTTTTCGGGTTGAATACTGATGTTTGAGCGATAATTTTGTATAGGATTTTTGGAAAATATTGTTCAACTTTTCTTTTAGAGTTTTGTACTGACAGAGTATAAAATTATATGATTATAAACAAATTAGTGAAAATGACCAAAACTCGGAAAGCGGGGGAAAACTTGTTAGCGTCTATTAAACTTTCTTCGCACAATGAAAAATAAGAAGAGTATTAAATCCAGATAAAATTGGAAAGCGATTTAAGGAAATGAGTATTCATGTAGCTAATTACACAGAATACAAATTTTAATTTGTACTTGAGCCATTTAGTGGTCATTCCGAATACTTCGCATTCTCCATGCACATCAAAATCAATTACCCGAGACATGCATATTTCGTGTAGGCAACACTACAATCATGTTTCTCTATCTCCGGGCGTTCTATCAGGCCGCAAACAAACCGCAGCCACTTATGTACCTAGTTAATTAAAAATCTGGGAGATCAACACCCGACAGAACGCTATTTTATTGCACACATCGCGGCTACGCAGAAAAAGTTGACGAAAGAGTGGAACGTACGCTTTCTGATCTTGTCTACGAATTCCCCGTGCCACGGTCAAGATAAGCCAGCCCCAAATCCGCTTTTACAGGAACAAAGATCGTCGTAACCGATCGCTTTTTCACAAGAAGTCCTTTCACGTGGCGAATGCGTTCAGACTTTCATTTCATCGCACCGAAAAATTTGATCCGCTTTGAGTGTCTTTACACTGGTGAGCGTTCTTCACCTTCACTTCCGGTAAGCACGAGATTTGCACGAGCACACAGCTGTCCGGTTCGGTACTCCCGAAAAAAAGAAACCGTCTTGGTGGCCGGGATTTCTTATTCCACTCGACCAGATCGTTTACATGAATTTAGAGTGGACAGATATAATTTATGCAAGAGGTCGTCGATTTTCTTTTACCGTCTTCTTTCTTTTTCCAAGATTCAACAATGAACGACTTTGGACTGTTTACACTGTATTGCTACGCGCTCCTTGAAAATACTCATAACCGCACCAGACGTTCACTTCCGGTAAACGTAGCAGCAATGTAAATTTGCGGTTGCGCCTGGAGGCGCTACTGATCTTCCGCTTTGTCGGTTACTTCGCGCCTTCGGATTCCATCGTGACACGTGCTTCATCTTCGCATAACACCGCGCGAGCTCTATCTAAATTTGGCTGATTAGCCCCTTGCACTCGAAAATTCTTCACTAGAAATATTCAACTTTCTCTGATAAGATGAATCCTCCTTAAGTGGATTCCAAAAAATGTCTATAACTTAAGGATAAATCACACACAAACTAAGGAGTGAAACTAGATTATAACTAAGTAAATACCTAGTAAATAACTAGATAATATCGTAACCCAAAAATTGTGATACCGAATCGTTAGCAATTATTTCCAATGGCACTTATTTTTGCTATGAAAGACTAACAGTAAGTAATATTCCATGGAACGCTAAAAATTCCTATGGCTCTCGGCGCGTTAATAAACACAGCATACTTTCCCAGATTCTTCTAAAAGAGAAAGATTTATTGCTTTCGCAAAACCAGAAACAGTAGCTATCATCTAGAGATTTCTTTCGTAGCTGTTCCAATTACTGGAATTATAATTCATGAAAAAGGAAAGGTTCCAAAAAGCATCGGATTAATGAAATCAGAGACTGCGTGAGTCGCGTTTCGCCGAGATTCCAGCCATAAGGAAGAGTAATTATTCAGAAGCGAATAACATGATTTCACCGATATTTCAATTTAAAAGGCATTTAACTTGTATCGCTTCCGTCCTCATCGGCATTAATATGCCGCGAACGAGTCCGTCGTAGCTCGGAACTGGCAAATTGATGTGACCGAATATACCGGCACGGTATTTTTCCAGAAAGCGTTCCGCTGAACGGAACGCGTTACTCTAACGACGACGACACTTCCAATACCGTGTGTACTTCCCGTGTTCGCGGGCACGCGTAATCCTGGCTTCCGGCGCGGCGCGTCGAGCTCTCGCGGTTCATTGAACCGCGTGAAAAATGAAACGCGAACCTTTCATATTCATCCGCCGTCGCGTAGAGTTCGAGCGTAGGTTGACGGATGGAGAGACCTAACTCACTATATCCTGGAAAGGGTCGATAGTATAGCGGAAGGAATCAGTGAAAGGTGGTGGAATCGATGTTACTATATAAGCACTGTGTTCCACTGGCATAGACACTCAACGCTCGATCTTTGTGCGAACACAATTAACACGCCCACGCCTACAAAAACGTTCCAGCCATGAATCAAATCGTAAGATCGCGTCCGATGGTCGCATGTCACAGGGAAATTTCGTTGGGATCGATCATTTTCGGGGAATCCATTGTCAATTTATCAGAAAATTCAATCGAACGCGCACGATTTTGTTCCCCGTTTGTTTATTTCGTTCTGTTTTCGTTTGTAAACGACCGAAAGCCTCGATAGAGGGACGAACGATAGTGATTTACGGGTCCTCCATTCATCAATCGGGCGGATGATTAACGATCGAATGTTTACAGATTGCTTTCGTTGGTCTCGCGGTGCTCGCTGGCATCGCTTCTGCGAGCCATCTGGACGAGGACCACGGCCACTCGACCTACGAGGAAAAATCGAAGCCTGTGGAGATACCAATCTATAAGAAATACGGTGAATATTAACATACGTCTTCGAATTCTCGACTATTTCGAAATCGATGTATCCCAACTTTCAATTTAATCCGATTAAAAACACTCTCCCGGAATTTCGCGTTTAAAATTTTAACTGAAATTATGCGAACGTATTAAGTGAAGCTGTTAGTGCCAACTATCGGTAAAATAGATATCTCATTCCGTATTTTAAGCTGAAAATGTCGGACATATATGACAGAATTTCTTTGAAACGGTTGAAGTAAGATACGTTACAGTATATGCTAGGTTTAGATTTGTTAATGATGTACGTACACTGACCAAGTTTAATTAAATATTTTCAGCGATCCCGATCCCGCATCCGGTGCCAGTCGAAGTACCCCAGAAGATCGAGATTCCGATCCCTCAACCGCAAAACGTCCCCGTCGAGATTCCTCATCCTTATCCAGTGGAAGTAGTCAAACACGTTGAAATCCCCATAGAAAAACCGGAACCCGTCGTTGTAGAAAAACACGTAAGTATGAACTACTACGTAGTAAGGGTACCGGAAAGTCTTCTAGTATTATATATTTTAAACTTTTTAATTTCCTACATTATAATATTTAATTCTTAAGTTTAACCTTCAATGAATTTACGTTAAAACTCAAGCTCATTGTACTTACTTCATTTATTATTTTAAACTTTTCAATTTCCATGGTCATGGTACAGCTTCTCTATCTCAATCTTAAATTAATTTAAATTTATATTAAATTTTAAGGTCATTGAAGCTTATTGCGATTATGTTATTGATTAACCCATTCATTGTCGAACTTCAGTATACTCATACTTGATTTGATGCATACAGACAGTTCTGTATGAAGAAATACATATACTCACAAAGAAATAACGGAACTTAAATAAATGCTCATCATTTAGGTCTGGCAACGAATGGGTTAAGAATACTTACTTGTTTCATAGATATTTTCATCCCAAGCTTCGTGATAATAGTGAAATACTTTCCAATGGCCATCATGCTTCTTGATTCAATGGATTCCATGATTACACGTGGCCGCAGAAAATCGTTCTAACGTAAGACCATTGTGTTTACCCAGGTACCATTCGTGGTGGAGAAGCCGTATCCCGTCTACGTCGAGAAGAAGTTCCCCATTCCGGTGGCGAAACCATACCCAGTCCATGTGCCGATCTACAAGCATGTATTCCACTACACGTCGAAGGGCAAGGGATGGCACTAAGCTCCTCCATACACGCGGAAGACGCTCAAGGACCGTTCTTCGCCGCAGTGACTAACTAATTCACCTGGAAACGAAGATATTAATTTAATCATCGATCGATCGATTCGATCTGGACGCCGCTGTTTCGAGGTGATCGTCGTTGAAGACCTCCGCTGCCAATGCTATTGTTACTATTATGACGATTTTATACACTCGTTAAGTTTTTATCGTTCCCTTAGTCAATAGAGTTCACTGTTTTGTTAATAAATGGTTTGAAAAGGAAAGAGAGGCAAGCAAAACCCGTAGCGGCGTCAGTTTAATCGACGATTCGCGCGGAAACCGATGATCGTCACGAGCGGGCTAACTCGATCGCGTGCACGCACGTTGCGCGGATAATTAAATTACGGACCGCGGAAGATAATTCGAAGCGATCCGTGCGAGACGTTCGACGAGGAAAGACTCTGGGTTAAGCTGCGGTTACATTGGATGTTTGTTCAAAAGAATTGGCGCTGTGACGAGCTTAATACGTCAAAGAAATGTGTATACAAAATTAAAGGTGTATACATAGTGATCTTCAGATGTTTACCCGTCAGAATGCTAATGTATCCGACAGTGCATCCAATGTAAACGTAGTCGTCAGGTCAATACACACGTTGAAACACATTGCAATGCATGGATTCACAGATTTCGTGACACGTGTCGCAATATATGCGTCAGATCGTCCCATAAGTTTCTCTTCATTCTATGACGTTTAGTCTGGAAAAAGTTTCGGAAAAATGACATTGAAGAACTTTTTGGCACAACATTATAGTTCACCGTCTGAGAATCGATTTCAGTGGCGACTAGTGAAAGAACCTGAGAAAAATCGTACGATTCGTTCGAAGCTTTCAAGGTCATTATGATGAATCTTCTTCAAAGATTGAATATCTAGATTATGTCAGCTGCAATGCTGGCGAAACGTCAGGAAATCATTTTTAACGTTCATGGCTCATACCCAGAAGCTTTGAGTAAGCCTCGCCGTGAGAAGAATCGAGAAGATTTTATTAAACCTAAGAGTCGATGCATTCATTGCAACATGTTTCAACGTGTACTGGGAGGTTAAAACCGTCGGAATCGTTTCTTCCGGTTCGTTATCGGGACAATAGGGAAGCGCGTAACCTTTCCTCCCCGTTTCCTCGTCATTCAGCGTGTTACCGATCGGGTTGGAAAGAAACCAGCCACCGGACTAGCCACGATACACAACGATCTTGAATCGCCATAACGAGCCTGAGACACCAGACGGCAGCGTTCCTGCATCGAAACCACTTTTACTCGAGATACACTTTCACTGTTCCGCTCGCTGATACGTACCGTATCGTGCGCGATTCGAATCTTCCGAGAGACTTCTCTCTCCCATGGCCACACCCCTCTACGCTTAAATCGGCTTCCTCCCCATGGCGTGAGCTCTAACTGCGAACACAAATGTGTATATAAATATCACCGGTTATTGCAATTCACGGCCCCGGGCAATGTACTCGCGGAACTATCGTTCAGCTTCGGTTAGAATGCATTTCCGTAAGGTGGCCCATTCGAAAGTTCGATTCCCAACGCGATGACTAATGGACATTTGGCGAGTTTTATAATAACCGAACTGCGAATGCATTAGCGAGACCGGAAGTTTCTAGAGAAATTTCAATGTATGGCGCTGGGAAATTATTGATTCCTTTTTTTAGTTGTATTCCACGTATTCGCTGTGTATATGAAATATCTGTTGTCTAGTAACTGTGATGAACAAGATTACAATTAATTGAAATGGAATTTTATTAAAATCGAACATTACAACTGTTCTTTAAGCAACAAGAAGGACTGTTAATGTATCGAGCTCCAATCTTGTTTCTGTTCTCAGTGATTACTATTATTTACAAAATAGAGCTTATATAGAGACTGCGGTTTATTGAGTTTTTGTTTTATTAAAGGTAACATAACCGATTCGTTAGTATCTTCGAGTACCTATGATTTGCTACGATCGTGTAATGCGTGTAATCAATAAATTTAAATTTATAATCTGGCTAACTTTATCAGCAGCGACAATTTGTAACATTTTAAGAAAATAAATCCAGTGATATCTGTGCAACATTCTAGAATATTTAACGGCTACCAATGAAACGAAAGTAAGAGCGAGAAATCTCGTAAGAGATCTCTCGAGTGATAGTGTTCCTGTTTTCCTTTGAAAGTCACTTCTTCAAAATTCGATATGAATTTTAATTTCCTGCATAAGTATTCATAGTCCCTCGATCTATATTATGCGCTACAGGTGGGCAGATAATTTTTGCAGTTCCTCCCTTTGGACATTAATTAAATAACGACAAGAAATAATCGAGTACTGTCTAGAACTCGCACCTGCGGCGCGAAAGCTGTTCTCTTGGATCGCGTGCCGGCTCGAGATGGGAGCGCGTCGAATAATACATACCCAAGCTAACTGATACAAATATAAATTGTTAAACATGCGAACTAGATCACAACCAAATAACGTTCACCTCGGTTGACTGGGCACATTTTCATTCTCGCCTACAATGAAGATATTATCACTGGACTTTGCCATTGTTTATCGAAAATAATTGTAAACCAATAAGGAATTGAAGAGAAAAGATTAACTAATAACGCGTGTAATCGGTCAATGAAGGAATAATTGAAGATAACTACGATGGGTTCCTTTCGCTCAAACTGCCAGGCCGTGAACAATGTGTCATTCTTTCGATATGGTGAAAATCGAAAGCGACTACTGTATTTGGCGTCCGTGGGAGCGGTGCTCGCGAATTTCTCAAATATCTTTCGTTCGCTCGCGTAATTACGCTGACGAATAAGGACGCAGTTCAACAGCTTCGCGGAACGATATTACGTCGATCGCCGGTTAATTATTCCTAGCTACTTTGTCTCCAATTAAAGCTGAAAAATCACGATAGAGCAACAATCTAGCGTTCGCCACAGGGAAATTATTCGATCGACGGTTTTAAAAGAGAAACATTCCTTTGGTCGACCCAGCAGATATTATGGTGATCAGTTTCGAGAAACGCGGCGATCCAGCTGTGCGAAATGTGGGGAAGAATGGGGGCTCGCCCAGTTGTTGTTATTATATCGACGCAGACAATCGCTACGCTGGAGCAATCGTGTACGTGTGCAGATTAACACGACGAGCAGAAAGAGTCAACGTAATGAAGAGAAGGGGAGAAAGTGACGTTGGTATATAAACACTTGTCCGTGACTTTGAAAGCATCAAACAGATCGTGGCGAGTTAACACTACGGGTTCCGCGCGCTGGGTTCATTCGACCGTGATCATCGGGTTCTTCGAAACGCACTGAAATCATGAGGATCATTGTGAGTTGTCGACGAGCCTCTCTCGTTTTCATCGACGAGCGTCTCGAATCGATTTTCTTTAGAAAACAATTAAAAGAACTGCGTTGATCGGAGATTCTACGTGGGAATCTTTAGTTAATTGAATTAAATAAAAAATACAATAATTTGAAAGTTTTATATTTTAGAAGTTTGGCAATTTGAAAATTTGAAAATTTGTAAATTTCTGTGTAAAATCTCGAAATGTTGAAATTGAAATTGATTTGAGAAGTAATTCGGACTGCTTTCTTGATCGCAGATTTTGGCAGCTCTGGTAGCAGTTACGTCTGCTTCGTATGAAGAGGAACATGGCGGTTCCACGTATCACGAAACGTCAAAACCAGTCGAAATACCAATATACAAAAAATACGCCATACCGATTCCACATCCGGTCCCAGTTCCGGTCCCTCAACAGATCAAGGTACCCATTCCTCAACCGTACCAGGTAGAAGTACCTGTGCCGCATCCAGTCCCGGTGGAAGTTATCAAACATGTGGAGATTCCGGTGGAGAAGCCCGAGCCCTACGTAGTCGAGAAAAAGGTACTCGTAATTGTAACACGTGAAATTCGTAATTCTGTGTAGCATTCTAATTACAATAGTACCAAACGTATTACGTTTCTTAGTATTGCAATTAGAATTATCGTTAACTGTGTTATAGTCCAATGTTTAAAGCTGGGATTACAATAAAAATAGCACATAAACTCTTCGCTTCATTTCAGTAAGAAATGAAATTTCTTTATAAAACGAATTCTCAGGTGACATGACAGTTGTACAAACTAAAATTGCCAAACAATTCGGAAAAAGAATATGATTAATTTCTTAATAGCATAATTTCCTCGAATTAAACCTCCATTGACACAGATTATCCACAGAAAGTTAACAACATTCATCGCCATGTTTGTCCACTGGAATATCGCATTGCCGTGAAACCTTACACACCTATAGAACTGTGCTCACGTATAATTTAGGATCACGTTACCTCGCTTTATTATACAGCATTATGAAAATTCAAATACACACGGGACATTGAAACGTTATTGTTTTGCAGGTACCGTACGTGGTCGAGAAACCGTACCCGGTGACGGTGGAAAAGCACTTCGCGGTGCCCATCCCTAAACCGTACCCGGTCCACGTACCCGTCTACAAGCACGTATTCCACCATCAGAGCAAGGGCCACGGTTGGAAGCACTGATCCACGCGACATCGATCCTGACCACGTCTAACCAAAAAAGAAACTATAACAGAGAGAAACGTCACGTTTCTTGGCATTGTACATAGTCCGTTGTTTTATACTTAATTGTATTGTTGTTTAAATAAATTGTTCTTGTTTCCTTAACGGTTCTTCTTTCTTCTCAACAGTCGTGTCACGTCACGTTCCCTTTCCAGCGTTTAGAGCAGAGCACGGATGATTGAATGGTTTCGAAAGCGCGTCGCAATTGCCGCGAGTTCGTCCGAGAGCCTGGCTATAAAAGTCCCTTTTTCTTTAAGTTACACTATTTCTTGATTGGGTCAGCCAAACAGCGCGCGATTCGAAATCTACTCGTGGCAACGAACATTTCCACGATAACATAATTTGCGTCTCGGCGAAAGGAAAAGCGGACGCTCATCTATGTAGAAACTCGTTTCATATTTTTACCGATAACTTCAAACATCGAACCAATCCGTTCACGAATGAATCATTATACTGCGATTACCAAAATAAACACTACTTTAATTAGTGCACGTAATTAGTCGTTTAATCGACTAGTGAATTAAAAATTAATAATTGCCGTTATTTGGTGTGCTTAAACACGAATTTATTTCAGGTAATATTGCAAACAGAGAAACTTACATCGAAAGTGAAACGATTACTGGTTAAATTGTTGAGTTATTAAAAGATTTAAACCTTTCCTTTCCTTTTTCAGTGTATATTGTAAAGATACGACTTGGTAAATTGATATCGGTTTCCGATCGATGCTAAGATAAGATTACTATACATTACTACTCATTAAAGCAGTAGCTCATGGTCAGTGGAGTACACAGAGAGCGCTACTTATTATATAATTGATTAAATAATATATTAACATCGTTACCAAGTAATTTCATTCATGCATTCACTAAGCCAACATTACTTTCCCAATGCTTTAATAATGCACACAACGCAACGGATTATTAATATTATCGCATTAGAATTCCTACCTTAAAAGCAGCACTTCTTTTCGAAAAATCTTCGATCCAGCCTCGGTCCATCAATCACAGGGTAATGAATGCTCTCAAATCGGAACGGAACTAGCATGCGCGCGTTCGATAAGGCGGTAGGAAATATTTCAATCGAGTTACCGTTTTTCCCCCGTAGTTCGGTGAATTTCTGTAGGCAACACCTGGGGGCGATATCGGCAGCATTACGAAGCTGCCCTCCGGTTTTGTCGGTCCAGAAACCAGCCAATGACTAGCCGACGACGGTGTTGCAAATGACGGACGCCGGCCTAACGACGGGACGCATAACGCCCGGAGTCCATGCCCCAAGGTGCAGAATTTATTCAGGAAATACCGGGGCGCGACCAGTTGCGTCATAGGACTGACCGACGACCGCTTTTTACGGCCACTTAAGGGAATCACATTCGACTTCGATCCGTAAGAAACCTGCCCCCGTTCAAGTGGAGCAAAAGTTTATAAAACTGACGGGCACGCACGACGCGCTCCTAGTTTCGCCCAGGACAGTAAATCCGCCGTTTATCCGGGAATATCCAGCCACCCAGCAGCTCCATTGTCCGCGAATCATGTTCAGGCTACTGGTAAGCTGACCGAAAGGGAGGAGTTTCAGAGTAGCGTGCGAATAATTAACGCTTATTGCCAGAAGATTGGCTGTAAATGTTGAAGATGCGGCTGTTAGTCGAAGCACCGGCTCTTGTACCCGAATTACTGTAATTTACAATCTTCTTCTGATATTGAAATAATGCGAAAATTATACAGCTGCGTCGGGTTGCATTGTTGCGAGGCGAAGAGATTGGCACGATAAATGAAATATCGGATCGTTCTTTTGTATTCTTTCATTTTCACGCTGATAGTCTCGCGAGATGGGTATCTTTATAATTACATTGTTGATCGTTATCCGGGCTATTTTATAATTATTTTTTTGTATACACGGTTTGTTACATTTCTAAGAATAGAAAATAGCAGAGCAGGTTGTTAGATCGATGTAGTTTTAAACAAATGAAAGTACCACCGTGGAAAGAGTTAACCATTTGAAAACATTCATTCTGTCCAGATAATATTCATCAAGCTTTAGTTGCGTTCTAAATATTAACGTAAAAGTGAATTTACTAACCCAGGAACTATCAGATTTATCAACTTCTTTAACACACTTAAACATATTACATTCAAATTCAATTGAAATCCAAATAAATTAATATATCTGGTATGTATAAGAAGATACAAGCACACTGATCACTAGTTTTAGCATCAAACCATAAAAAGATGAGCCACAGAAAAATCCAATCAACCAATCTATCTGTCGCAAGACTTAACGATCATTTTCGTAACTTGCAGATCCCATGCCTGATATGGCTCTCCAGCGTCCGATCGGAAACCGCAATGTCCATGCACATGCCGGACGGCATGATGGAGGACAAAGCGGGCATGACGGACGCCATGATGCTCAAACCGAAACGAGAATCATACCATAACCCGTGTCCACCGGTTTACTCTCATCCAATCTCGTATTCGCCGCCCCCGCAAATTTATATAAAACCGGTGGTCCATCCAGCGCCGATGCCAATCATTCATCAGCCAGTTCAAGTTGTCCAGAAGCCGGTGATCACCTATGTGAAGCCAGCACCACCTCCTGTTGTCGTGAAACCCGTGGTCCAGCCTAAGGTTGTGGTGCCGATCTACCAGAAACCGATGATCTCGTACGCGCCTATCTACCAGAAGCCCATTTATTACGCGCCGATGGTGCAAAAGGTGATGTACGAACAGCCAAAAGTCCTATTGAAGAAGATAGAAGTTCCCGTCACCCAAGTGATCCAGAAGCCCCAGATCGCATATCCTATTCAATATCATCAGCCGAAAGTGGTGCACGCACCGGAGCCGCAGATCAATTACGTGAAAATCTCGCAGCCGATTATCCACCATCAGCCTGTGTTCCAGTCGCCCGTGAAACCATGGTGCCCGTAGAGGAGTTCTGCGGATCGGATTGTCACGGTGCGATCACAACGGTCAGGTGATTCGATCGATCCGTCGAGTTACGAATGTTCTGGAAGTGCGGCAACGATTCGAGGTTCTTTCCAGCCTCGCCCAACGAAACCAACCATGTCGCGGCCATCCTCGCCGGCCATAACGAATCGTAGTCAGGCGTAATTCAGCGCGGCTTCCGTTTCGCAGATTGTACAATAAAAAGAGAAACAAAACGAACGGTGTAGTAATCTTGTTGTCCGTTGAACACTTCACCCTTCCGATTGTCCAGCGATACTTTCCCTGTTTGAGGTGACTCTATAATCTAATCGAAGAAAGTCTTTTTTCTTCCATCAGACGTAACAGTCAAATGATTTTAATGTGTTGAAAGCTTGTGAGCTGTTGTTAAATTGTACAGGATTTAATATACAACCATTCATTTTTTTTCAACCGCAGCACTTGAATGTTTACAGAATTTGAGTCACGTACGATTTTGATCAATTCGAACATGATATGAAAGGAATATCAATAATAGTTTGTTTAATCGATATTCATACATCGTGTATGGTGCTGTATATTTTATACAATGGCGTATGTTTATTGAACACATGGATTTGTAGTGTGAAGTAACAATTCTTCCGAGTATGGAAAGCAAATGGTGGCGCCATCCCACGGCGATATGCATTACCATTAGAAGCGATCAAGCGAATCCTCACAAACCCAATTAATTCTTGCCGTTATGGCCGTATACCTTGCTGTAGTATACGGCAAGAAAAATATGTGGAAATTTCAATGCTCGGTGAGACAAGTGCTCCAGCCTATTTCCAAACGTCGCGCAATTGATTAGTGCCAATTCGCTTGTATGTATCATCTTAGAAGCGGTAAGAAGCATTTCGATCTCCAGAAGTAGAATGTTACTTAATGGGTATAACGTTGTTAATTGTTAATTTTTTCTAATATAATAAATGTTGGGTGTTAGAATTACTTCATGATTTATCTTCCACCACTGTTTCACCTTCTATTAGAAAATCTGATTATGTGATGTCAATGACAGCCAGGTAATAGCAGGGAATTAATTGTGGACAAGTCGAGGCGAGGTTTCCAACCGACTTATGTTTATTTCAAGGAATTGTCGTTTCGTTACGCGATCACAACTCCGATTATTGCATAAGACTGACTTGACGAAACGTAACGTTTACCGATTTGGAAATTACCAATTTTCTACTGCCTATGGCCATTCATAAGCGTAAATATCCTATTAAATTTTTACATAGACTTTCGACACGCATTGCAATGCGTATAAGACGTATGCATGCAGGTAAATCCCGTTCAGTAAACGTAGAGAAATGAGTGTAGACTATAGAATCCAGATTTCCAAAGTGGAAAACTTGGATTCCGTCGGCCAGAATTGCCAGGAAGACCAGGGGTAACCATATGACTTAGCAGTGATGGGACTCCAGGTCCAGATCTAGGTCTCATCGGGACGAAGGCTACATCCGGTTGACGAATGGGAAGGTCGGGATACTTTTGATCGAAAATGAGTCTATACTGTAGAATCCAGATTTCCAAAGTGGAAAACTTGGATTCCGTCGGCCAGAATTGCCAGGAAGAACAGGGGTAGACATGAGACTTGGCAGTGATGGGACTCCAGATCGAGGTCTATACGAGCACTCTGGGCCCTCATTATAAAATTTTACGTAAGTACCTTCATAATTTTAATACAACTGCAGTGGCAATTCCTTTATTAAAAAACACACCGCACCAATAATTTAAATAAAATTTTAAGGTATTTGATCACGAGTTTAACTTATTATTCAACTTAATCCCATAATTGTGTTTTTAAGAATTTTAATTTGTTAATTTACTTGCAGTCTCCTTGTTAAATAACTGATTTAACATAACTTTAAATAGTAATTCATGAAGTTTGAATATTCACGGTTTAAATTACTTTGGCTTAAATTAGTTTAGCATATATATAGGTAAAACTCATTTACACAAAACAAGAATATAGAATAGGAGCGCAGGGGTGCAATCAGTGAATAGCAGCAGCAAAAAGGAAGCTTTCAGGTTAAGTCGTCGACTACAAATAATTAGAACTTTTTCCCTCTTCTATTGAATTCAGAAACAAACCATCTTTATTTATAATTTTTCTGCATAAAAGTTATATTGATCCATTGACACTAACTCGCTAGAAAAATGAATTAAAATGCATTCACTTAATAAGACGTATTGGTTTCATATTCTAGATCTGTCTTATACTCGCCATTGTTTGTGATGCGGCGAGAATATCAAGAATATTCGAACCACATTCTAAAATTACCAAGGTGTTTTCCCGGGCAACACTGCCGGTGGTTTTCATTATATCTATGGCAACAGAGTCGCTGCTCCATTCTTCTCACTCGGTAATACAGTCGGTAATTCAGAACATGACACGGAGTTCCATAAGCTTGCAATGCTATCTTATATCTCGCTGTGCCGAGGCTGTGTGTATGAGCAGTTCTGTGTAAGTATTCAATCATACAGGTAAAAGTAGATATGGAGAGGGTAATATCTCTGTATTCTGTGTTGTTAAGAGAAGAATTGCGGAACAATACTGTGGGGTCTTCCGCTGTGTGCGTTGCGCGAACGACGGAATTAGCCAAATTAGTCGTATTAATCACATATACATGACCGTTTCGCCAGTTGCACACTAGAGTCGAAGACACTAAATTTCAACCGCTCAGCCAGTATTCCTTCCTTAATTCTTCTGTCAAATACACGATAAGTAGGTATGTAGGTACATACCTATGTACATACATTACTTATAAATGGAACTATTCACCACTGACATTATTTACTAACAATTAACCGGTATGTGACAATTGCTATACGCTTTAGTAAACATAACTTTATAAAAATTATATAAATTATCGATAATTTATGATATTTGTATTGCTTGCAGTTCATTATGTGGGATAGCCACAATAATAGTGCAGACAAAATTTCGGGCGGGTTTTTGAATGACAGTCGTAATTCTATTGATGGAAATAAAGGAAGTGTTGAGAGAATAGAAAATGTTATGCCTGTTTTTATCAGGCATTTGAATAATTCTCATGGTGATTTGAAGATTTTGGGATCGCCTGTTCGCCTTGTCACTTTTATTGGAATTGTGCGAAACATTGAAGAAACTACTACTAAAATTTCTTATGAAATTGAAGATGACACAGGTACTGAACAAGTTTCCTACATTCTATTTATATTTTATTTAGATATCTTAATTTAAATAGGATTATTTAAAGATTTTTTAAATATTTTGTATAATTATTGTTATTAATTTGAAAATATTGAAGATTCTATGGATTATCTATCATAATAATATAATTGTAATTACAGATAGTATTACAGCATTTCATTGGTTGGCATCTGGAAAAGTAACACCAGATCCCATAATTAAGTTTAACACTTATATTCGTGTCTATGGATATTTACGTGAACAGAATGAAAGGAAACATGTATTAATAGTAAAAATGTTACCTATTCTGGATTTGAATGAATTGACTAGTCATATGTTGGAAGTAACCTATATAATGTTAAAAAATCAGAGAATGAGCAATATAGATCATGAAAGTTCTGACGCAATGATAATAAATGATGCTATAACTGATGATAATATTAGTGGTTTAACAAAAGAACAAGCTACAGTTTTTAAGATTATTCAATCAGAAAATGACAGTGAAAATGGAATTGAAAGAGATGTCCTTAAGACTCGAGTGCCAAAGAATATCTTGTCACATATTGATAACATCATTGATTTTCTTATAAGTGAAGGACATATATACAGTACACTCACTGATGATCATTTTAAAACAACTTAATTATATACTATGAAAAAGAAAATATGGTTGCAATCAAGTTAAATTTATATTTCAATGACAATGAATATAATGCATTCTAGATTCTAGATAATTTAGATTTTTACATAAAGATAAAGTAACTGAATTATACTTTATTATTTTATACATGAACATTACAAATAATTATAAATCAAATATTCTGTACTATATTTCAAATGTATTATAAAAACTATAATATATGATCATGCTATTGTGTTTCTTAGAAACATTGAACCTTTTTCGTATTATCATACTTTTTGTTGTAAGTAATATTGTCTATCTGTTCCCCCGTATGTCTACTCTAAAAGTTGCCCGAGACTATTGTGAGCAACTCTATGTAGTGTCCAATAGGCAGGAAAGAAAGAGAAGAGCCCTGAAAGGAATGCGGGTCTCATTGGTCAGCTTTTATCTTTTTTAATCTCATTTTTGATACTAATTTGCTATTGTTACATATTTATTAATATGTTATACTTGTCAATCAAAACCATAAACAAAATCTCTAGTGTGGTATACCTATACTATAGGTATGGAAAAGATGATCCACGTTGTTCACAAGAAAAGCCCTGAAAGAAATGCAGGTCGCATTGTTCAACTTTCATCTTTTCTCATATCGTTTTCGATATTAATTTATTATTTGTCAACACGGTTACACATAACCAATTAAAAGTATAAACGAAATCCCTAGCGAGAAACCCCTCTTGCCCCTGTGCTGTCACGTGGTTTAACTCGCGACAACGCGGGTAATTTTCCATAAAGGAAAAGTTACTATTGAGATCGCTAGTTACTACCTACTTACTATTTAAATAACTCTGTACATAAGTACTGAGGTATATGTTATTAAGTAATTGTTTTTGTTTATTCTGTTTCTTATTGTGTTTCATGAAATAAATTGTATAATAGAATATACGAAACTATTATAACATTTTCGTTGCTTAAAAATTGGTAAGATGATAAAATATTAAATTAATAATACCGCACTACTTCAAAACAAAAAAAGGTCAGACTGTTATGAAAATGATGATATGTATTGTGTTATTAATGATCGTGTGATTAATAAATGTTCAGAACTAGTAGTTGTTAAAAGTTTGTATAAAATATAATGCACAGTGTTTAGTTGTATCAATTTAGCAGAAGATTCTGTATAACCTTCCTTCGCAAAGGTTAGAAGTGTTAAAAACTTGTGTGTGTCTATACGTTATATATTAAAAATGAAATATATCACAATTACTGATATTGTTATGTAGTTGTATTTAAAATAAAGATTTCATTAATGTGAGTAAAGAGTAGTTAAAAAATGATATAAGGCTTTTGAAAATAATGGGAGATTATTTTTAGGTACTCTTTGCAATTTGTGAGTATCTTGCATTAGACGAAGAAAAGTTAACGCATAAAAAGGAATATAATCTCCTAAAATAATGGCCCTTGCAAATATATCTGGTATCCCTGACAAACATTGGCAACCACCATTTGTAACACTTGAAACAACGTAAGTACTTAAAAATATTGGTATCTTTCATATGATTACAAATCTTAGTTTTAAGTATTATCTTTTTTAATAAACATTGAATATTGAGTAAAATGCAGCATTAAGAAAGAAAAGATTTTTGAACAGTTTCTAAAGCCAACAATGTACTTTAATGAAAACTTCAGTTATCTATGTTTATTTTATATTTGTCAATATTTAAATATATAATAGGACTCCATTTATCCGAAAACAGGGTGTAAATAATTTATTTAATTGGATCATTTGGGTAATAAGAGTTCAGTGATTTTTCTTCCACTACTATTTATTAATTTGCAGAATGGTAGTTAATGTTTATGTAATATATTTTTGATCAGAGATGCATTTTTTCTGACTACGTTATCTTTTGTTTTCATGTTTGGACACAGGGCAAAAATAAGAGTTCATAAAAGTTGGACACCGCATGGCCTAAGTTTGGATAATACGAGCTTGGTAATATATTCAATAAACCATGTACTGTGGCAAAATAAGTTCGGATAAACGGAGTTCAGATAAATGTGATTCTACTAAACATTCAATTTTATTGGGTACTTTTTATAGTATGGGACAAATAGTTGTTGAGCTTTATTGGAAACACGTGCCAAATACATGCAGAAATTTTGCTGAACTTACGCGGCGTGGATATTACAATGGAACCAAGTTCCACAGAGTGATTCGTGGTTTCATGATACAAGGTATTAAGTTATTGTTTTTTTATATAGTATATTACTAATGTTGAAAATATAACATGTTTTTTTATTGAAAGTATAAAACCAAACATAATGTAAAATTAAAATAAAAGTTCTAAATATACATTTACATTTATCATATGAAACTTATTCAGTTTAAAAATTATAAACAAAATAAATAGTAACTCTATTAAAATTACCTTTTTATAAAGTAATATACAATTTTTGAAAAATTGTTATCTTAGGTGGAGATCCAACAGGAACTGGAAAAGGTGGTGTGTCTATTTATGGGGAATACTTTGATGATGAAATACATGATGATTTAAAACACACAGGTACTTCTATCATAAATAATTTTTTCCTTTTTATTAAGATTTTACAAAATTGATAGTTTTTTTTTATTAAACTAAATCTCATTTGATACTATGAACCAAAAAGAAAAGTAATTCTTTTAAAATTATATTCGAAGGTTTAATTCCTAATATTAATAATAATGGTTGTTTTCTATTGAAATAGTCCCTTTTTGTACTATACATTACACGATCTACGACCACAATTTTATGAATTCAGGGAAAAAATATGATCTTTATGGATTAAAGTAATTAATTAAAACACTTTCTGTCTTCGCGTATTAAATTAATTGTATATTAAAATATAATATTATTTTAGGTGCTGGAATTGTATCAATGGCCAATTTTGGTCCCGACAAAAATGGATCACAATTTTTTATCACATTAGCACCTACACAATGGTTAGATGGAAGACATACAATTTTTGGTATGTTTTTGCGTATAACTTTTTGGTATAACGTATATGTTTTTAACATTTACTGTAATTACATTATAAATAATTATAGTGTCAGTACATCAAAATATAATTGAAATTTCAATAAAAATCAATTTAATGATATTAAATAAAATATCAATAATGATGTTTTTCATTAACAGGTAGAATCCATTCTGGTATGGCAATAGTAAAGAGAATTGGTTTCGTCGAAACAGATAAGAATGACCGACCGGTTGATGATATAAAGATTTTCAAAGGATTTGTACGGAATGCATAATAAAGTTGAAATACTTTATTTATATTTATTACTTTTGTAAATCACCCTTGTGTAATAAAAGGAGTTATCAATAAGCCATACTTTTGACTAATTTTTTATATTACGAGAAGTATCAGTATATATCGTATTCGGATATAAAAAATATAATAAGCTATAACCTTTAGTAATGATTACAAAAATTTTACTTTATTTCAAGGTTGTAAAATTTGAAATAAATTTTCTTACAATACCGCGTTTGTTTCAAATGCTCTACAAAAACCAAGTTCTGCATAAATATCTGCAGTTTGGGTGTAGCTGAAGTTCCGACAAATTGTGTCCCAATTATCGTAATATTTCATATATGTACACAACATGTAAACATTATATACTTACTACGAAATTTTAAATAAAGGATATCCAATATTTATAACAATACTTCAAACGTTACTCCAATTATTGTGGCACTCTTATGTACGGTATGTATGCCCGTGTTATAGATCATTCGCACAGATTCCGTTTGATTCTTAAACTTCAATTGATTCATGCCCGTGATCGGATTAATTGATTGTTATTCTGTTGCGGTTAAACGAATGCATTATACAAAGTCTTACATAAGTGTGCGATAACTTGTGACCTTCAAACAAAGATTAGCATTTCGAGGTCTCTTCTCAATTGAAATCTTCCCCGGTCGTATTGCATTACACTACGATCCTGTGGACCATCATTTGACTGTACGTATTGCAAACACACGCTTTAGTGCCATGAAGAGTTTAGTTAATTCGTTCAATGATGCCGTTACGGAGACTCTTTCTGGATTATCGTATACATATCCTCAACTTGAGTATCAAAAGTCGCATCAGGTCTTCCTAATGCCGAATGTATGTATAACATTTAAATTTTAATAATATACAACAATCTTTATTTTATAACTTATATATAATAAATCCATTATAAGGTAATTGCCAATTTAATAGTAAATTCTATTCATATCACAATTTTTATTTTATTTTATTATATTATTTTTTTACACTTTCTCTGCGGATTTATTAAAGTATGTTACATTGTTATGATTTAGCTCGAAGATCGAGGGAATAAAGTGTCTCTTATATGCGGTGGTGGAAGTGGACACGAACCGTTCGCAGCGGGTAATTATTTTTTACGAAATGTTTTTAACATTAATATGTTTAGTCTGATACATAATTTCAGGTTTCGTTGGTATTGGAATGCTGACTGCATCGGTAGCAGGTTCCATATTCGCTGCACCTCCCTCGCAACACATTTCCTATTGCATCGAACGTCTTTCCCGACATAGTCAAGGTAAGAAAATCAGAATTTCTTCCATCGTAGAAAATTGTACAATTGTACTATTTATTTACATACAAACTCATTATCAGATATATAACATCTTTAATGAAATACGAATTTTTGTACACTACCTACGCAAACATCAAAATTAAACGAAAAATTGTCGTTAAAGATTCTATCGAAATTTAAATTAAAAAAATGCATATGGTACGAACACGTGACATTAATAATTTGAATTATGTATATAAAAAGCTTTTCTAAGTAACAATTTAAGTTTTTGCACAATTTAAATCGTGCATGCCTTCAATAAGTAGAAACAGTAAACAATGTGCAGACGCGTTGATTAAGACGTCAAAGAAGCTGGCTATCATACTTACGTATCATTGTTTTCTGAATTTAAATAAGAAAAAAGTGCTGTTTTAAATACGATTAATATTCTTGTTTGTTTGAGATACAATTAATTGAATGAGATTGCGGGTACATGCAGCCGTCTATACACGGTGCTTTATAAATAAGGTACTGTTCAGAGACGACATCTTTTCACGTCTCCTTCAAACCAAAGGGACAAGTGCGAAAAAAAGACACGGAGCACAGTTTGACAAAGTCGGAGAATGATTATAATGAGAAGAAGTGAGACGGACACAGACCGCCGAGCATCGAGGGGTCGAGGCGCGAGACTTCAAAGCGATGCCGCACGCGTCAAATATAAACATGCAATAAAGGAAATATCAATTTCATTGATTTCATTATCATCGATTTTAAGGGAATAAACCTTTAATTTTGTTAATTGCATTAAGTCTATAAAACTAGGCCGATGTACATCCGGTTTGGACTTATTTTAATCACAACAATCTTAACAATTCACTGGCACGTTTGAGAAAGTAAGATCGAAATTAATAAAACTGATATTTCCTTTATTGCATGTTTATATCTGACGCATGCGGCATCACTTCTTCTAATTATACTTAATCTCCGACTTTGTCAAACTACTTCGTGTCCACTTGTCACACTTGCCCCTTCAGTTAGGAGATGTAAAAAGATGTCGTCTGTGGACAGTAGGTAAATACTTGTCGCGCGGACTATAAATTAGCCAATTTGTTGACACTTGTTTCAAATTAGTAGAGCTTTATCAAAGTGATGATTTAAAAACAAATATTAACTGCAATAATTCACATTTGCAACTAATGGTAATGTACTCGATGCTCTTTTTATTACCATGACGATCGGATACTATGTTATAAACATGATCAACTGTAATCCAGCATTTTTATAGGAGTATAAAAGCTAACGGCTCTGAACAATAGGCATGTTTGGTAAAAAATGTTTAAAACAAAAATCATATAGTATCAATAACTAACTATTACTGAAATATTGTTTAGTGAAAGATGATGAAACACGCTCATTGATCGACTATACACTATCAATCCTTTCCCTACTTTCCACTTAACGTCTCTTACTGATTACAGTGAACAGTGTTTGTTATTGATAAATTTTTCATTCTTTCAGCTGGCATATTAGTAATCATTCCAAATTACACTGGCGATTGCCTTAATTTTGGCATAGCTGTTGAAAAGGCAAAGCAAAATGGTTTGAAGGTGAGAGGAAAGTAAAAAGTACAATTCTAATTTTTAATTATTATTGTAATTTCGTTATATAGAAATATAAGGAAAAGAACGATTCTTTTTTATTATTATTATAATTTCGATGTATAGAAAAATAGGTAAAAAGAATCTTACTTATGTGTATTATTTATTCATATAAAAAGATTTCGTTATTGAAATTTTAGGTGTCAGAGATAATTGTAAATGACGACTGTAGTATACCGATCAAGGAACAAGGAGTCGCCGGTAAACGTGGATTAACTGGATTATTATTTGTCATAAAAATAGCTGGAGCACTGGTTGAAAGAGGATTACCTCTTGAAGAAATACATGACGTTGCCCAAAATGTTTTGAAAAATATGGCTACGTATGCGGTAGGATTGACCGCGTGTGCTATACCTGGTTAGTAGTCAAATATTACTTGTTGGTATTCAAATTTTACTTAAATAATATTATCACTATTTATATCCTCAAAAAAAAGTTCTGAACTTAAACAAAACAAAAAACTGTAGCTTAATGATTACACAAAAGATGATTTAAGTGCAACAAAATATTAATGAATTACAATTGTTTCAGAATATATAATATAATTAAGCATATTAATAAAAAACTAATATAACTATATGTATGTACATTTTAGGTCAACCTCCAATGTTTGAGATTGCTGAAGATGAAATAGAGTGTGGAATGGGGGTACACGGGGAAGCTGGATACGAAAAAGCAAAATTAAGCACGTGCAGTGAAGTGATTTCACTTATGTTGAAACACCTATGCAATGCATTATCGTTAACTAGCGGAGATTCCGTTGCAGCGATTATTAACAATTTTGGCGCGTTGAGTCAACTGGAACAAGGGATTGTTGTTCATGATTTAATAAACCAACTCGGTAAGTGATAAACATATTAACATTTTTATTTTATCAGTTAATATATTATCACTTTCATTATTCATCAACTTATACTTTATTAATATTTATTTAAAGTTCTACAAAATAAAATAGGAACGAGTAATAAATTTTAATTAACATTTAGATAACAACAATTTTAAAATAAGATGAAAAAATGAACAAGAATGAAAAATAATATATAATAAATAGTAACTGATAGTGATAAGAAAAGTAATAAAAACTGTTTCTCTTTATTTGTAAGTTCAATGAGTATGAATCTCTTATTATTAAAGGAGAGATGCTAGAATCCAATATATCAAATGTTTTTTATACACGATTTATGTTATATCGTTATCATAGAATTGATTCTCTTGAAAAGAAATCAAATTTTCCGTTTTAATAATACTCAATTACCAATTAAATTTTAATGTAGGGAATATGAACATTCGAGTTGAACGTGTATACTCGGGTGTTTTAATGACCTCATTAAACAGTGCTGGGATTCATATCACCCTTCTTAAGTTGCCTGAAAACTATAAAGACTTGTTCATTGAGTGTCTGGATAGTCCAACCAATGCACCAAAATGGCCAGGTTGTGCTTATAGCATCCCATCGAAAACTAAACGAACAACTACACAGAGCACAATAACACGATGTGTAAAACAAGTGGGCATAAAAATTGAAAAAGATTTGCAAGAGTTATTAAAGGAGTGTTTAAAAAGTGCTTGTGAAAATATAATAGAAAAGGAAACTTTTATCAATAATTTGGATAGAGGATGCGGTGATGGTGACTGTGGTTCAACGCTTAAAAGACTTGCTAATGGTATGTAGTCATTATGTAATACTGTAAATGTTACTGCATTATTTAATGATAATGTTTCATTTAATATTCAATTTATTAGGGAATCGTGGAAATTTAATAAATGTTATTATCGATATATTTCTTTTAGATATTTTACAAAAGTTAGAGAGTTTTTCTTTTTCACATCCTTCATCAGTTTTCTCTGAGTTGGCATACATAGCTGAAGAACAAATGGGTGGAACATCTGGAGCACTCTACTGTTTATTGTTTACCAGTCTTGCAGCAGAATTAGTATTGGCTCAAGAAGGAGAAGAGTGGTCCTTTATATTGGCTAAAGCACTTCGCAGTGGCTTAAATTGTTTAATAAAATATGGAAAAGCCAAACCAGGAGATAGATCTATGGTAATTTTCTTTATAATGATTAATGATTTTTTTGTAATGTAATGCTACTTTTAAAATTTACTGATTTTCTAGATTGATGTAATCAGTACAGTATGTGAAACTTATGAAAATAAATTAAATAATAAAATAGATAATATTTGCGGTGCATTAAAAGCTGCTGCTTGGAAAGCATGTGAGGCAACAAAAAATATGACACCGAGGTATGTATAAAACTAATTTTGCATCTAAATTGATACTTAACACGTAAATAAATATTTATTTATACAATATCATATTTATCATTTTATCTTACTTTGAATTTATATAAGAAGAGCTTATAAAATCTATATATACATGTAGATCAAAATTTGAAAAGTGCTATGAGATCAATTTTGTTTTTTTTACAGGTTCAATAAATTAGGTCTTATATTTTTCTATTTTTTATCATTTCATTAACATGTTTTAATCAAATTTTCTATAAGTAACAAATATTGTGTTTTTTAGTCTGTACAACTTATTTTTACCAATAATAGATATAAAATAAGTATAATAACAAAGTTATAATATATTTTATTACAGAGTAGGACGAGCTAGTTATGTAAAGCAAACCCAGTATTTGCAAAATGTAGATGCTGGTGCATACGGAGTTGCCACATGGATTAGTGCAATTACAGATGCAATTAAGAAAATCTAAACTTAAAGTTATGTAAAGAATTAATGACAATATAATTTGTACTCAATTAGCAGAAGCTATGTAATATATTTTGTAATAGTTTGAAAAGTTGTTATATAAATAAAATTATTGATAAATAAAAATCAATTTATTACAAGCACTAATAAGGACTTCATTTACAATATTAATTACAATTGTAAATTATAAATGAAAAGGAAAATATGCAAATAACTATATTATTAACTACTATTTATTCCCCTTATCTGCAACGTTTCGAACCACCACTTTCTATAGTCATTAAGTTTAATACTTTGAAATAAATTTTTCGCTTAGAAATTTATATTACTTTCAACTTCAGCAATTTTTCAACAGAAATATTGTGATTCTTTAATTTTACTCACTAGTATAGAACCTTTGCAGAAAATCAATACAATAAACAGTTATATATTATTTATGATGTATTATTATGTATTAGATATATTATATCATGTAATATATGATATATAAATATATTCTTTTTACATATTTACATGAAATTATATATAATTTATATCATATTTTCTTGTAAAAAGTCTATATATACCTGACTTTAACTTTGGCTGCTTTGATCGGGCAGATACCCCATTGTGCGTCGCGACATTCAATTTTCATTTAAAATTTCAATATTTTTGATTTTCATTTCTATCACTGATAGCGCTGCCATGCAAAACCAACCTTAGATGATATGGTAGGGCGTGACATGAAAATGGTAAGGGGTAACTGGTACCCGAGAATGTGTGAAACAAAATTTTACATTGCATGCTATGTCAATCTTATACCTCCTCTATGGTCTCAGACTATTTCTTGAATAGAGGTAGTGGGAGAACGTTGTTTTCAAGTTACTAGCATGAGAGGATTCAGTCAGATGCCTCTAGTGTATGTTATGTTTAAAGTATTTGTGTTTATACTTTGCTGGAGGAACCTGTTTGAAGAAAATTTTGAAAATATTTTTTGTTTTAAGCTAGATTTAATCAATTTAATGTATTAATTCTGTAAAAAATTATAATATTTGTGATATTTTTACAAATTTTAGGTATATCGTACAAAAATATATTACTAAAAATGTATTAATTCTCTTTGTATCTATATAGTTGTTTGTGCGATCTTTTTTGTTAAATTGATTATGTAGTTACATAGTGAATGATTATAGTATTTGTGTATCATTAAATATATAATATTGCATACCAATTATTTTTACACAAATTAATAAAAACACGTAATACAAACAAATAAAATAGATCAACCTGAATTTCATCAGTCTGATAATTAAGTTTTCAGAAGGATGGATTAAAAACATATTTTCTACGTAATGTTCTATATTCATTTTTCAGATTTTTAAATGTCTGAATCTATGGATAGTTCAAACCTTTGTGAAAATATTAATACTTCTTTAAATATTTCTACAAGTACGCAATCAGTTAATAAAGAGAAAAAGCCATCATGTATCATTGTTCTTGGAATGGCTGGATCTGGAAAAACTACATTTGTACAACGACTTGTTTCAATACTATATAATGTAGGAAAACCATATGTTATAAACTTAGATCCTGCATGTAAAGAAGTTCCTTACCCTGCGAATATAGGTATTTGAAATATTGCTAAATTATATTTTATTCCATTTCTATTTATTATTGAATTGGCATTAAATATGTAATGTTTTAGATATACGGGATACTGTTAATTACAAAGAAGTAATGAAACAGTATAGTTTAGGACCAAATGGTGGTATCGTAACTGCTTTGAATTTATTTTCTACAAAATTTGATCAAGTCATAGATCTTATTGACAAAGCAAGTAAAGAGCATGAGTACATAATTTTAGATACTCCTGGACAGATAGAAGTATTTACATGGTCTGCAAGTGGTACAATTATAACAGAAGCTTTAGCATCTCAATTTCCAACAATTGTGGTATACGTGTTAGATACTGTGAGAAGCGTTAACCCTGTAACATTCATGTCCAACATGTTGTATGCGTGTTCTATATTGTATAAAACTAAATTACCATTTATTGTTGCCATGAATAAGGTAATTATAAAATATGGAATTATTTAATACATTACATCCTACATTTTAATTAATGTTATAATATGTTTCAAGATTGACATTGTGGATCATAGTTATGTAGTAGACTGGATGCATGACTTTGAAGCATTTCAAGATGCTTTGGATGCTGAAACAAGCTACATTAGTAATTTAACACGTAGTATGGCTCTGACGCTTGATGAATTTTATAGTCATTTACGTAGTTGTGGTGTTTCAGCTGCTACAGGTGCTGGTATCACTAAATTTTTAGAACTTGTTAAAGATGCTGTAGAGGAATATGATCGGTAAATTAATGGAATATTGTTTAGCTACTTATATGAAAAAATTTGAAATTTAAAAACATGATTTTTTTTAAGGGAATATAAGAAAAATTGGGAACGAGTGAAAATTAAACGAGATGCTCAAAAATCTCAAGCAGAGAAAGAACAATTAGAAAAAGCAGCACAGAATGTTACAGGAGAAACAGTACCATTTGTAACAACAGTTAATACTGGAAGAGAAATTTCAGATATATACTTAAAACATGCAGGAAATGAATCAAGCGAAGATGAAGAAGGAACAGAAAATCCATTTCATGAAGAAGAAGATCCGGAAGAAAAAAAAGAAGCAGAGTCTTTTAAAAACTTCCTAAATAGGCACAAAATAGAACAAAGTAAACGTACATCTAATCAACCTACTACAAGCAAAGATGCATAATGTATAAGTGAACATAACATTTATATTTACAAATAAATTAAATTTACATGTAATATAATAAATGTTTTGTACATTGAAGATTATATTTTATAATTACTAATTTGAGAGATAAGTCGTAATCTATGTAAATAACTAAATACTGTTTTGTGAATAATTTATTATTGCAAACAATGAAAATATTGGGCCTCATTTAACATAGATGTATTATTATTCTTTTTCATAAGATTTGTTCACTTCATATACACACCAGTTATAACTTGCATGTCCGTTTGCGTTGTTCCGTTTCGAAGCAATTGATATCGGATTTCTACCAATCCATTCTACTTTGCCGTCATGACTTTCAGTAGGGTATAGATTAAAGGCAAATACTAAAATTATCGTATTTTACATTAACTTTTAGAATCAATAATTAAACTTATAATAAATTTTCGACATGTATTAAACAACATTAATTTAAAACATGTTCTAACTAAATGAAGGTGTTTTTGATATAATTGGAAAGATTTCTTCTTTAAGTAAAGTATAGAAACTGTAGTTTTCAATTTTCATGCAGAAAAACGTATTCTTTGATATCTCAAGTGGTACTGGGCTATCTATTTTCTAATAAGTTTTATTCCTTCTTAACTGAATTAATTGAATTTTTATTGTCATTAAAGATTTTTTACAATATTTTGCATATTGAATTCTATTACCTTTTTCGTGAGAAATTGCTGGATCATTTAAAAAATCTATATTTCTCGTTAAATGATGTGTTCGTTGATATTCCCGCCGTACTTGTTCCAAGGCTTTCGTTAACGCCAACTGAACAGTATAGAAGAACAATTACAAAGTAATCAAAATAAAAGGACATTTCTGTACGGTACAACCTTATACTTTTTAATAGATTAGATTCAAAGGTGAATATTTTTGAAATCATTTATTTTACAACAAAAATTTTTAGAACTATAAAATTATACATTAAATCACAAAAAAATCCAATTTCTAATTAAACAGACAATACAATTTTTCCGAATGTAATTTTTATTGTAAATTTATTATAAGTAATTACACATGAAATTTTGACGAAATTAAAAAAGTAAAAACTTTGATAGCATCAGCAATAAATATTCGAGAAGGTGTTCGATACATTTCAGTAACCAATATTTCATAAAATAATCACCTTCTTATATTGTCGGTAAAAGGGTTACTTACCTTACCAGAAAAAGATACTATCCAACATTTCGAGTTACCAAAATTCGAACAGGTTAAAACGACTGTTCGTACAGTACGATTCGATCCGTGAGGAAAAAAAAATGACAACGAAGTTTAAACAAATTACCCGACACATGTGCAATCGTGACTCGTGTTCGAAGTTCTTGTTGGTTGTTGTTGATTCCGGGCTACCTTTCGAGCCGATTCGTTGACGATGCCTCAATTTTTCAGGAGTTTTACGGTACACCCTCGACAAAAGGTCTGGCCGGCCGATACGGAAGTTCCCGTGCAAAAACTCGTGAACATCTGGATTGTATGCATTGCAAATCGGGTCCCGATTGTGCGACGTCACTTTCCGGAACCCGTATAAATTCAGCTGTCTAATGAAGCTGGTGATATTCTTCGTTTTGAAGATGGAATTGCCCGGGTCGAGGTACTGTTCCTGGAATTTCTTGTAATCGAGGAGGATAGTGGTGCCGCTCAGGCTCCATCGGACTGCGTCGCTTTTGTACTCGTTCACGATCCGCCAGAGTTTCTGCGGGAATCGCAACGACAGAAACATGCAGTCGTCGTACATGTCTTCAGTCTCGAGACCCTAGTGGATTTTTTTTAATCGTGCCCGCTGAAACGCCGATCGAAACTGAAACACTACGGCTTTCTCTATATTTTCGCGGATCTGATCGTGTATCATTTGATCGAACAAAATACTATCGTATCACGGCAACAATATTTCTTGTTCTAGAATCGCCGAAGCGCGGAATCCTCTTCTTTTTTTCAATCTCTTCCGCGCGTTCGACGTTACCGACGGTGTTCGACAGAATTCGATTCAGATAGATGACGGATGAAACATACGAGTATTGAATATAATTTTATTCCAGTTAAATTGTGTTTATGAAAACGTGAATTTTTTTTTAATGATATATGCGGTTCGTAGTATACAATTAAAACACGTGGTTTGATACAATGATTCGTATACTAAAGAAAAAAAGAAATAATATTTGTGAAGAGTATTTAAAATATTTCGTATTTCGTATGTGTATATACAAATAATTATTTTCTAATTAATAATAAATTATTCGATATATGTTACACATTCTTAATAAGCATAAAGTATTAATACTATTTTCTGGACAATGAAAGTACGTCGCGTTGAACTTTCATAATTTCCCTGATGTCATATGTGTTTTCTTTTATCATATTATTACACCATCTTAATTGTCATTACAGTATTTGCAGTCACAATAGATTAGCAGAGAATAAATGAAGTTAAATCAATTTCGTCCGAATTTATTATGGACTGAGACGATTATTTTTTCATTAGAATACCGTATAATACAATTGGATGGTGGTGTGGGAAGAAACATAGTTGTTTCTTTTTTATCCAAAATATGAATATCCTGCAACAATATTCACGTTTTGTTCTGTGCATTTTGCGACATTAAATATTCATTATTTTGCACGTGAAGAAGCTTAACAACAATAAAGTTAAAACGAAAGATTCCGCCATTTAAGAATACATTTATGAAGACATCAGTCTTGTACCACGGACGAGGCAAAATCAACATATCATTCAAAAATAGAGGATCACAGTTCCTTAGGTTACCTCTTCTAAATAAAATGGTATAATATCAACAAAAGCATAATATTTCATACACTTGCTTTGACACAACTGAATCCGATAGTTTCCAGTTTTCTATACGCATTTTAAGTATACCGTATTGCATATTAAAAGTTTAATTTGCCAGTCCAATTAAAAAGTAATTAATTGATTCCGAAGGTGCGTTTTCTTTACTTTTGATTTTCATCTGATATTATCAAATGTTCTGTCGCTCGTTACCGAACACTTTCTACAGATTATATTGTTAACAAATTTGAATATTTTTATATTTTACAATATTTAAGTTAACCATTGTAGACTTCTGAGCGCTGAATATTGTTTTTCTGGTAAACCTCAATTTTTAAGAAATTTGTAGCGTTGAAAAATATTTTGGACATTAGAAAATCGTACAAATGTTATATATAATTATAACGATATATCGTTGTCGCTGGGCTTGTGATAAATATGCTAATCGGATATGGCTGGCAGAGTCTGTAAATATTCGTGCGGTTTTGCCGGTGCTGGCAACAAGTAACCATCAGGATCCAACACGTCTGGTGTTCGAATGGTAACAGGTCCCTGCGGTGGCCTTGGTAAGGTACCTTGCTGGATGGATTTACCTTGAGCTATCTCGAGTTTCTCTAATATTTCTGCAAATTTAATTCTGTCTTTCGGGTCAGTTTTCCAACAGTCCCGCATTAATTGGCAGACAAACGGCGGACATCCTTCCGGCGGGATGAGCATAATACCTTGGAATATTAGTTTCACCACCTGAAACAGCGATTGAGAATAGTGTCATACTTATATTTTTACTTATAATTAATTTATTCAAAATTAGCTCGAGTGTTAAATACAATATTATTATTATTATTATCAATAAATGTCGAAGTAGTAACACTAGAACTACAAAGCAGTTAAATTAACATTTTCTAAATTTTTTTTATAAAAACAGTAACAGTGAATTTATTAAGATTTCAATTGACTCGTATTTTATATCGAGTATCACTTAATCACCTACTTCAATAACTTTTCAAACAAGCATTTACATCTTTTTCAGAATGGTGAAAGAAGAAATCGGGAATAGGTCATTTTGACGTATCCGGTAATTCTAGTGTTAAGAGATGAGGTCACGTAATGAATTCAGTCAACGATGAAACGAAAGTTCCTTTACTTACTTCTTCATTATTGTGTCCATAATACGGCTGTTTGCCGAAAGAATAAACTTCCCATAAAACAACTCCGAAGCTCCACACATCACTTTCTAGGGTGAAGCGTCCATACATCACACTTTCCGGAGACATCCAGCGGACCGGTAATAGTCGGGATCCTCCTATCTGAAACAGACGAATTTGCGTTATTTTTTATGTTTGTGTAATTCATGCCACGTTATTGAAATTATTAAATATAAAATTGAACATTTGATAAAACAGTTGACTGCTGAATACAGTTTATCTACTGCTCCTGGTCGAGACAGCCACTCACTAACTACCAATACAGTTTTCGTCATCGCGTAGAAGCATATGTTTTCGCTTGCAAAGCTTTGTAATTTTAAAATCAAAATATAAGGGAATATTGTAATGCCGTTCTGATTTCTTTTCTTTTAAACCAATATAATTTTAACAGATTACCGACTGTTGACCATTGAAAAACGAAAAGCCGATTAATTTAATTAATAGGTTTGCAGTAGATAAAGGGTATACTACGAAATGTCTGATGCACAATACGTTGCTCGTTGTACCTTGTAATAGTCACAAGTGTACACATCTCGCGACATCCCGAAATCCGCAATCTTGACGACTAAATCTGAACCAACGAGGCAATTCCTGCAAGCCAAATCTCGATGGACGAATCTTTGACCCGATAAATATGTCATGCCAGCTGCGATTTGGATTGTAATCCAATGTAGAGACTCCTGGAACATATAATATAAATTCTAATTTATATTAATTAATTAAATTAACTACTCATTTAAAATTATATATATATAAGCATACAAGATTAAAATGAAATAAAGTATGAAGAAGATATACCTGGGTCAAAGGTTGCAAACCAGGTTTCGAAGACCTGAATTGTTGGGTGTTTGATCGGAGAACCTCAGCGAGATCTCCATACGGCATGTACTCAAACACCATCCACGGACTGTTGTTAGGGTCACGAGGAACTATCCCTTTCAAGGATAAAATGTTACTATGTCTAAATGTGGACATGATGTCAACTTCTCGTATGAAGTCCTCTTCAACTTCGCGAGACGCTGAGTCCTTCAAGACCTTTATGGCGACTATTTCCTTCGAGTCACCGACACATAATTCTCCTGTAAAATGACGGCACGTGCTCAGAGATCAAAGATAAAATGAAAAGTACTTAGGGCAGAATATGTGTAGGTGAATTGCATTCGATGTTTACCTTTATATACTTTTCCAAAGCATCCTTCGCCAATGTCCTGTACAAATATGAGAGATTCGCGCTGTACAATCGGCACCTCTGGTGATGCGCAACTGAAATACTGTGGATTAGGCGTGTACTTATTTGCTAATAGCAATCCCTTCTTCAGATTCATCGGTGTCCCCTGAAGAACATAAAAATTCAATTTATGAGGATACTTAGTCGCGATTTGAAAGCGAAAGTATTATATTATAGGAATTTTTCAGTTCTAACATGTTACGATTTCTTAAAATAAAATTAAATTGAAATTTCTTGTCTTATAATTAGGCACAGTTTTGAATCTATTTTGAATTCCGAACTCTTTGAAAAAGGAAGCAATATTTATGATTTTATTAAATTTCTGATTGGCAATTTCCTCCTTTTCCAAAGAGTTCTGAATTCAAAGTGGAGTAAAAGTTAGAAATTTTACTTTATAATTGGAAAACATCATAAAGGTGTTCCAAACTTGTTAGAAGCTCTTTGAATAAAATTAATGAAATACTTTTTGGGTGTATGGAATTTGTATGGTTCTTTTAAATGTAACTGTATGTGGATATGTTTAATAACAAAAAATTCGTATCTTTCATTTAAACATTATTTCTATTTTATATTACTTTCTTTTATTAATTCTATAAGATTCCATACTTACGTCTAAGGAATTCCTTTGAGATTTCATGTTATAGCTTCGCTTTCTCACACAATATACTATACTCAACAAAATTACTAATACCGCGATGAAAGCTAAAACAATTCCTATTATTTCAGGTACCCTTTGTCTGGAACGCTCTACCTGTTTAAATAGGATAAAGACATTATCAATTTTTTTACTTCCACCAAATTATTATTATAAAAAAACAAATTATTCGTTGCTTTTGCCTCCAGTTTGTTAAAATGCATAATATAATAAAAATATGTAATTTCAAAAATAATTCGTTAAAAGACCTATCAACAAATAAGTCATCAACAAACCTTTGACTTTTTAGAGTACTCTACAAAACGGAACTTTTGTTCAAATTTTTATCTACACTTTAGGTACATTTTGTGTATTAATTATTCGACACATTAGATTCAAGGTATTTATTCCATGTACACACCTGTTCAGCTTCAGGAAGGGCCGTCGTGCCATTGGTAGAGTTACCATTTGGAGGTATTATGTTGGGTATAGGCCGCGGAGTTAGGGGAACTAAAAATTCAATAAAACAAATAATATCTATCATTCAATTTTCGAAGTTAAACGAAACAGTTTACTATAAAAATGTGAATATTATATTTTTGTACTTTATTTCATTATAATTTTACAAAGGTCTAACGAAAACGTAAAAAAGAATATTGAGTTTACATCATTGCCACTTTAGTTTACACTATTACTAATATATATTTAGTTTATACATCGTAAAGTATTCTGTCATTCTTTTAGCTACAGTAAAATAATTGAAGAAACGTAATTTTCTTAATTAAAAAAAAAGCAAAATTCGTGGAATAGAATCTAAAACTAGTTTTGAGTCTGACCTATCAAACGATTCGGGCATTTCAGATCGTTCGTCGGCGGAGACAAATCATGCGGACACACGCACGTCGATGTGTTGTTCTTGAAACTACGGCAGGCTGCTTCCTTTCCGCAAATGTAGGGCCGATCTTTGCATCCTGTTATTTCGGAGTACCCATTGATAGGCAACAGCAGTATTACCTCCGATTGTTGAGCGGTTGCGTTCACAGATAATTCTGAAACAATGTTTACGCGTTATCGGAACTCCGTCTACTTGTTTACAAATTGCACACGACTAAACAAACACGATTTTATGGAAATCGAAATGTATAGGGTGGACCGAACAGTTTGGACCGAGTTATGTTCCAAATTTGATCGATACGTTGAATGTCGGACAATTTCAAGAAACAAAGTACGCAAAATGCAAAAAGTATAATTTAACACTACATTCCTACAAGCCTTCTATTCCTATCGTAACCAGTCACATAAGTGGTTATTAAATAAATGTAAACAAGTTAAACGATCAATTTTTCTTAGTGGAAATAGAAAGAAAAGAAAAGACAAACGTTGAAAAACTGATTAACCGGACAATATAAGAATTGATATAAAATTAAATTTACTTTTATATTTACTTACTCTTATAGTTTCCATAAAAGATTAAGAAAGCTCTATTTAATTGCTCGGTAGTCATACAGTTCCTGATCAAACATTTAGGGCCACCATTGCCGTGAAGAAAGTGACGTAAAAACTATAGTGGCCTTAATTTTTATGATCAGGGACTGTGCAATGTCAAGGATTCAGTTTAACACTAAAATTACTGACCCAGTCAAATTGAGCCACTTCAGAATTTTTATTTTGCTTAAACTTGTGTGTTTGCATAAATACAAGACTAGGAGATCCTTCGAATCTTAAGAAACACAATTTTCTAAATTTTATAAAAGATTGGAAATAAGTCACTCTAATTGCTCGGTAGTTTTAGCGTTAAAATCCATCTGCGAGCGAAGGTAGTCAAATTCGCAGCAGCGGGGTGGACGCCGCGCAAAGGGTGAATCGGTAAGAAAAAGGGCTACGTATTTGGATTGTGACCAGGCTTGGAAGAGACAGTGCAGGCATTCACTTCGTGCTTGAAGCTTGTAACGGGTCAAAGCGTTATCTCTGCGGTCAGCGCTCCCCGACAACGAGTCTCGCTATGTGTACCTATTATCGCCCCGTATTCATTGCCTTCCTATGCATCTCTACGAGGTTTGCCGTATTCATGAAATGACTCTTTTTCCAGAGTCCACCCGCGTTTCGGTTTTCTTGAAACACGAACGATCTACTTCGAAGAATTGGGCGAAAGGCGTGACGTATCTACTTACTAAGTACGTTAAAACCGACCGCCATGTTGGCGGAAAGCTGTCGCAATCGGTTGTAGAATGTATATCGGATTAAAGAAGTATTGGTACATTGATACTTTTCTTTTTTTTTTTTGTTAGTTTTA